AAGACGACATTGATGTAGGAGTCGATGAGACACTGAAAGGCCCTGGAGACTCCGAGTAACGTGTTGATGGGGTTGTGGACAGAGCATACTGGGGAACCGGAAGAGGAAGAATATCTGTAGGTCCAATCTCGTCATCATAGAGCGGACTGTTATACAGCTCGGCCTGGGGTTCTGAACGAGCCAGTATTGTGGAGGTCGGTGGTATTGAGATCCCCAGAACAGTCTCGGAGAAAGGATCCTTATAGCCACCAGGTATGCCTTCCATCGGCTGCGCATCGTCCTGGGATGACATCGAATCGTCCCTTATGCGTATTGCCTGTCGACCACTAGCAACCCCAAAACTCGCTTGCTTTCTCCTGAGAACATTCGACCGAGGGCTTTCGATAGTTGATGCCGATGATCCTGATGCGAGCGAAGGTGTACGTATACTTTGAGGAACCTCGAGCTTGGGTAGTCGGGACGTCGACGTCTGGGATGTTGGTTTTGAGCTTGCAGCGCTTGTGTTCTGAGGAAACATAGGCGTGGACCGGCTGGTAGTTCTTTGGCGTATACTGGACGTTGATACTGACCCTGTTTGGCTCACAGGACCTCTGGGCTGTACCTCATCATCTCTTGAAGGCCTCCTCTTCTGCAGCTTAGAGTGACTTGAGGCGGGTAACTGCGATGTGCCCGTGGTGGGTGTGATAGATCGTTGAGGCAACCGAGTAATGGGTGCTCGGTCCTCCACCCTCCTTGAGGGAGGGTATTGTGACTTATAAGAAGCCATTCTGGGTAGCCTTGTGTAGCACGGCTAGATGTACAACAGATGCTTGTGTACGCCGAGTAACTCATGAAGGCATGTGCTTACCCTTCTGTGAGACGCTTGAGACAAAAGGGTTTGGCGAATGGGAGTCGGAAATCGAGATTCCGAAACTGATAGCAAAAGCCAACTTGGATAGAATCTGTAAAGCGAATTGGTGTGAGGTGCGGCTGATGGCGGGAAGGCTAGATTAACCGGACGGGGGTGGCGATTCGGGGATTTGTTACGATGACTGAGATTGCAAGTCTATCCATATAAGTGATCCAGCCAGTTGGTACATGCAGTCTTGCGTATCCGTGCAGACTTTCGGTGAAGTTGTCAAAATCTTTCTCGTATGCCACATCTATCGGCAAGTCCGAAAACGAGTGATGGGTGTGGCGCAGTCGGCAATGCCCGAGATGGGGCTGTGCCAGGGTACAGCGAGATGGGACGAAAATCGACCACGACGCGCACAGGGAGCAACGAGACGATGACTGGTGTTATACTCCTGCCCCCAACGGCAGCTCACGCGTCCCGTCTATTCTTACCTCAGGGTCAACAATCCTAGCGCGGGGCTTCAACCGAGAGTCGCCTCAGTGGGGCTTTTGCGGATGAGCCGTCTTCAAAACGGAGGACCAGTCCCGGTGCCTCTTTCAAGTAGTCCTGAGTTTCTCGGCAATATAAGTGGTTTGGCAAGCTTAGTGATTAAATCTGTTGGTCAAGAGCGCTTTTGGTGATTGTTGCTGTTGCGAGGTGCGTAGGCTTGCATATGTACAACCTCGCGGCGTGCGCATCTTGGATGCACACACATCTTCCACAGAGCCGACGCCGGCGGCCTTGCGATATTGGGCTGATTCCGGACGGCGACATCCTGGTCCAGTGCGGGCGCTTGGGCTTGGATAGGCGGGTGGAGGCCTCTGGCTTGGAGAGAGAGCACAGCCAGTCGAGTTGCTGAGCGGTGGTGGAGGGCGGTGATTCGCAAACAGGCCTTGTACGCCGCCAGCCAAGTGAAAAGTCCAATTGGCTGTCAGGGCGCCCCCGTCCGACCTTTACCCACCAACATTATGCCGTTCCAAACGCTCAGCAACCCTCACCACAAGCCTCACGTTTTGCTATTGCTTTTCAAGACACGTCTCATGACAGGGCTGTTGTTTTGGGAGCTGAGGTGGGAATCTTAGCGAAAGATGTCGACAAATGGCCGTGACGTCGCAACGGCCCTCATTTGCCAGCATTCGCTCTTCCAGCTACATATGTTACCTTCAGCCCTTCGAAATTGCGCGACGATCAGCCATCGAGTGTCCCATCGAGTTCAAAAAAGGACCGACATGGCTATCAACGGCTCGTATGCGTCTACCTTAATCTGGCGAAGCAATAGATTCGTTGAGAAGCCTTCACCTGTCGAGGGGGTTGTCTGACTGTTCAATCAGGGCTTGCAGGGCAACAGGCGGCTGGATTCCCCATGCAGAAACAGTCATATGGCTTTCTGAGCGATTTTCGCAGTGGTTACCCAATGGATCTCGCAATTCTTGTTGCTATTCTCGTGACCATTGCATGCTTTAACCAAGAGTCTGCGGATCTGCCTGTGAGGCGGTGGCATTATGCCCATCAAGCCGGAGAGCCCGTCCAGAGAAAGCTGGAGTGTGGCTAAGTGCCTCAATTCGGCTTAGCTTCAGGCGAATCTGAGGCTGAGCAGTCGATCTCCCTCGCCACAATGACAACGCATCAAAAGCTGCGCAATTCTCGACTCACAAAGACGATTTTGATCTTTCTTCACCTGCAATAGCAAAAGCGGTATTTTTTTGCTATCCTCGACAGTTTCACCTGCGCTTCGGAGCGAGGGCGCGCCATTGTGGATGCGATCCACCGTCCAGGTCGCGCCAAAGCCACCATACCTGCTGACCCCGGCTTTGGACGCTCATTCGTGCTCTGGTAATGTGAAAAAAACGGCCGCCCGCAGAGCTATATGGTCATGTGACTGCGCCATACTGTATAAGGAAGGGTCTGGTGAAGGGTTGCGGCCAATGAGAGACTGAATTTGGCCGTTGACGTTATCACTGGCCCCGGTTGGATACAAGGGTTGAATGTGCTCATCCGTAAAGACGATACCCGTGGGTAGATGCGGTAAAGAGTATTCAACGAGCTGACCCAAAGGTCGCTAGTTCTTGAGAGTGGTGTTGGAGTTTGAGACATCCAAGAAAGCGTCGAGACCTGTAGATCAAAGTCGTCAATACTTTCAACCGTCTTGCAGAAACCCAGCCAACGTCTGACAGCCGGAGCGATAATAGCATTGCAGGTAGCGCAAAGTTTCTGCCTCACACTGACGGCGTCTTGCGTCCGGATTTGACGGTCCTAGCCGTCAAGGTGCTGGTGTCGGAGCCAAATCTTAGTTGTTGTTAACCGCTCAAACGCAGGACGCATGACATACTGGGTCGACATGTAAAATTACGACAACGATCAGAGGCCCACAGCGGACCCATTTGACCCCGGGCTGATTCGTGCTTTGACTCTATCCGTTAGTCAAATGGAGAAGGGAGAAAAGGGAGGGCGGCACGGCGCGACTGCTTCACTGTCTACGAATCACTTGCTGTGAACACCTGATGACCCTGTGAGACCCAGTGGAGCTCGGCCCGCCGCGGTGCGAACAGGAAATAAGTTCATCTGAGGCCACCGTGTGGAAATGACGACGTGCATTTTAGTGCGTGACTTAGTTGTGACGGCCCCCTCTTGCTCTGGTCGTCAAGCCGCCAAAGCACAAATTTTTCCATGGTTGTAAATGGCAGTCGTGCGGGGTATGGCAAAACGAGGGCACTTCCGACTCCGTTAGTTTCCATCTATCGGAGGTAATGCTCTTTGGAGTCTGCTGTGCGATGTGACTCAGCTGTGCGATGTGACTCAGCTTATCGCGCGTACATGTATATTCTGTCGGCAAGGTCCGAATGCATTGACCGCAAACGCCGATCTTGAGGAAGTTTGGAGAAGTTCGTGGGGTTTTTTGTCTATTGTAACCGCTGTGAGAATGTCCAGACAGGCCAATTACTATGGATCTGGGAATACCCGGTCGGCTGGAGTGTTAGTGACCGTCAGCATATCCAGGATAGACCTGGCTGCTAAGCCTGTTGGTCGGGAGAACCTATTATCAAATCGGAAGTCCGTGGAGGCCTACTTAGTTCCAGATATACACACGTATTTTTTTCGAGTGCATTTCGTAATAATGTTAAACATTCCGCGGAAATGGCTCTGCAGCTCATTCGTGCTGTTAACACTCGGACAAGTCCGTATGTTTCAATACGGAAATATGACTGGGACAAAGAAGAATTATATCTTAGCCACAGTATTACCCACCAAAAAGACTGTGCGGTTATTATTGTCGTTGGTAGATCTAACAATTTTTAAGTCCGGTCATATAGAGATGCCTGAGAGTGGTCAGTTTAAAAGCAAGCCACGTGATCGCGCGTTGATCCAGAAAGACACGCGTGTCTTGCACATGTAGATTCCTGGTACATTTCATCATGGCCCTACAGCAGAAAGTTACCAAATACCAAGAACGTGTATATACAGCACTCCAGCAGATTCCAGAAGGTCGTGTCACAACATATGCTGCTATAGCAAAGGCTCTGAGCAGCTCTCCACGAGCCGTGGGCGGCGCGCTGCGCGTTAACCCATTCTGTCCGGCAGTACCTTGTCATAGATGCATCGCCAGTACCGGGGTAAGTGTTCTGCGACGAGAGGTGCGACAGTTGTGCTGACCGATATAGTTTGTTGGCGGCTACAAGGGTGACTGGGAAAAGGCGCCGAGCGGACAGAACCAGGAGTCAAAACTGGAGCTGCTGAAGGAAGAAGGTGTATTGTTTGATCAAAGTGGCTTTCTGATTGACAAAACCTTGTTGTGGGATGAGTTCAACACGGAGAAGCTAAAGTGAAAGCTGTGGACACAGAAAGTCCAAGGTTCGCGAGGCTCGTCCAAAGTGGGGCAGGTGGAAGCGGGGTGGTTAAGAAGCTTCGCGTTCAGAAGCAGGACGGGCAAAAGGCAAATCTGTACGTCAGTCGCATTCGGAGCAAGTAAAGGTGTTTAAAACGCGGTCGCGTTTGCTGAGAAATCAATCAGATTGAATCAAGCTTGGGCAGATTCGCCACTCATTTTTTTTACAGACCCTGTCGCTGACTACTACTTCACAACACCAAACCAAAAACTCGTCATTTCTCCTCATCTCCTCCCGTCGCCATGCCTCCCAAACGAAAAGAGTTTCTCAAGCCAAAGCCAAAGGGCAAGTTAAAACCACAAGAACCACAAACCGAAAACGACTTTCTAGAAGTAGCAGACGAGTATGAACAGGCAGCGGGCAAATGGCGCGCTGGAGACGCAGCAAAAGCCGCTCGCTTCTTCAATAGAGCAATTGATATGTATAATGAGGGTCTGAGACTACACCCTCAATCATTTGATCTCGCGTATAACAAGTGAGTGGGCCGAGCATCTCAATTTGCGCCAAGTACTAATCGAGCCCAGAGCAAATCTGCTATACAATATCGCAGAAGATGAGCGCAGCATGTCACAGTTTGGAAACAGAACAGCGCTGCTAGAGCAAACCTTGGATTCTCACCGTTTTGCAGTCTCACTGAACCCAACAAATACAGACATTCTCTTCAACACTGCACAAGTGCTCACATCACTAGCAGAAGCCCGTCTAGAAAGTGACACACAAGAAGCCAGAAAGCAAGATGCAAGACCATTACTTGAAGAGGCCGTGGAGATCTTCAAGAGGTGCCTGGACAGTCAGCAGCAAGAGTACACGCATATACAAGCTGAGATTGCAAAAGCACAGGCTTCTGGCGAGTACCGTGAGGCTTGGGAAGGAGAACAGCAAGAACAGTCAGCAGTTGAGGAAGTAGATGAAGATATGAAGACCGAGTCTAGTGATGCGGAAGCGCCAGGCGATTGGGCTACAGTTGAAGAGCCCTTAACACCCGAGTCAATCCTAGAAACATGCACTGCACAGCTAAACGCCCTCACAACGCTCCTGGGCCTCTACAACCCCGCCCTCGACATCTCTGGTCTCGAAAAGAAAGCCGAAGATGGCCTCGAAACAGCTACACAAAAGATTCCCGTTCTTCTGGACCTTATCGACAAATCCCCCTCAAAAGCCCCATCCGAAGAACCAAAATCCGGCCCAACCCTCTCCCTTACCTCCGCCCCCGCATCCGAAGAAGCAACCACAACCCCCAAAGACGACGCCCTCCTCGCCGTCGCCACCTTCCAGGCCAGCATAGCAGAAATCCAGTACCGCAGCGGGAAAACAGACGCAACAACCTACGCCTCAACCACCGACCACACCTTTTCATCCCTCCAACAATCCATCATCCCACAAACCCCTCCTACCTTGGCCACCATAAACCTGCACTCGGCCCACGCAGACGCCCTCATCGACTTTGCCTCGGCCCTCTCCGACGGCGCACAATACACACCCTCAGCCCCGACATTCGAAACAGACACGAGTCTCCAGTGGACAGCTCTGACGCACGCTCAAACAATACTCACTACCCTTTCTTCTCAGCCGCACGCTTCCCTCGTCTCTCCCTCGCGCCTGTCAGATGTCTTCGTAGCAAGAGGCGATACGGATCTCTTCCGCTTCCGCATTTCACTTTTCAGTACTGCGAAGCCCGCGTGGCAGAAGAACGGGGCGACGCTTATCGCTAATGCTGGTGTTTTCTACAGGGGAGCGAGGAGTTGGGCGGAGAAGGCGGGAGCGCAGCAGGCGAGGCGGGTGGCGGATGCGAAGGCGGTTGTTGCGGAGGTGTTGAAGGAGGGGGTGGAGGGGAAGGGAGAGAGGAAGGAAGGGTGGAAGGGGAAGAGGGGGATTGCGGAGTGGGTGTTGGCGCAGATGGTTGAGGAGGGAATTGTTGGGCGGGAGAATGTGGAGGGGATTTTGAGGATGGTGGGGTGAAGGGAGGGGGTAGGTGATTGGTTGGGTAATGTATAGAGTAAGGGGAGTGTGGAGTGGAATGGTATTGCTCAACAGTTATCAGAGGTGTTTCTTGGTCCACCATGGTATTCGCGTCAGTACTTTTTTTGGTTTTTGAAATCTAGGATTGGAAGCGAACACTTGGGTACGAAGGCGAGTAGAAATCCTTGATGGTGTTTTAACAAATTCTCAGTGTGGTTACTTAGTACTCGATACATGGCATAATGACGAGATAACGTTACTTGTATCGTTTGTAATGCAACATTTGGGTACCATGGAGTAATCTGTCATTATTCAACTGCAAATACACTGGGACTCGTGTGATTCTTGTTTGCAAACCCCCAGAATCAGCAACATACACTGAAAAATGATGACTCAGCCCATGTCCTAGTCACCATGGTAATCATCTGTAGGCGCAACGACGAACAAAAGGACATTATGACTACAAGTGCATGGACTTGCTGGTATCGCAGTGAGCCCAGCTTGTATTCCAGTGTTTAATCATTCAACATGCGTAATATACAATGGCCCCGTTAGTGTCTTTTTCCACGCTTAGTGGCATTTTGTATGCCATCCATAACCCCCCTTCGATTCCTTGTCTTCAATGTTCAAGGCATAGTGCCATTTTTCAGTCCCCGTCTTCGCCTATCTCAAACCAGCCAGTCGACGCTCCTGAACCTCGGACAGAGCTCGGCTGCCGCTCAAAAAGGCAACGATTCCGACGGCAGCGGCAGCTGGCAGGGTCTGGAAAAGGTTCCAAGTCGTGTAGTACAAAAAGAAGATGCCCTCCATAGCCAGTATAGAGCCGTAGAAAAGGGCGTGCGACACAGGGGCGTTACCCAGAGCCTTGCCCAAATGGCTAACGTTTGCGCCCAGAGTAGCCCATGCTCCAAGTAGGATGGGCAGCGCAGCAGCAACAGCAGCCGCGAACACAATAGTTATGACCTTTGGTGGGGACTTGGGGTCGCTGCGGAAGATGTGGTGGATCTCGGGCTCGGCGGCGTAGCGTACCGGCGGGTTGGGGATGCTTAGAGGAATGCTGGTGTCGCGAGTGACGTTAAGGTCAAACACTTTGCTCTTGTACGGCTTGGATGAACCGAACGATCCAATGACAATGGACGCGGCAATTGGCTTCTCGGCTGTCAAGAATTGATGGGGTAGATCCTTGTGAGACTGGAATGGTCAGGTATGTCGGCAGCCATTGACGAGCGTTACGTACCAGATCGACTTTGCCCTTTCCACTGTCCTTCACACTAAACACAAACGAGTCTTCTACGCCAGTAACGGGGTCGGTCAGAGTCAAGTATGCTTGGTGTGGACGCTTCGCAGTGCTTCCATCGACTGTGGTAAGGACGAGTTTCAATGTGTCGGTCGCGCCCAGTGATACAGACTTTCCAAGCGGCTTCGAAGGGCTCAGGCTAGAGAGACAATGTTAGTCGTATACTCATTGCACAAACACAGAGCTTTGACTTAAGCTTACCTGTCCTTGGAACCTCCGCCTACACCAGCACCTTTGCTCGTAACCGAAACAGTAGCATCTTCAAAGCTCCACGAGGAAGCAGCAGATACAACCGCTGCACTCGAGAGGAGTAGTGAAGAAACAAAGCTGTGCAAAACCCTCATTGTTGCTGATCCGAAAAGAGTAAACGCGCAGCTCTGTACGTACGTTGTGTCGAGACAGACGTAAGCGTGTCCTTTGCCAAGACCTGCGTCGGCGTTTCCCGGCCCGCCGCCATCCTATCTTTACAGTTAAAGTGTCCGACGAGTACTACACATATCAGCCATGACTACAACTTGTGTTTTACTCGACTCGACGGCATTAATAAAAATATATCAAGGCCATATGTCACGTGAAATGACTATCTATTGTTGAATGGCAGTGCAACATTGTTCGATGTGAGCACGGGTATGGCTTGGACGGCTCTCTGCCAGCTTTAAGATGTTGCATTATTATATTGCACACTATCAGCAATGAACCTGCTCGAATACTTCACCCGAAATAACTCAATTTTATGATAACACGGTGGAGTCCTGTGCTGTCTCGGCCCCAGTTGCGACGCACGTCTTTTCTTATCAAGTTTATGCACTGTAAAGCACACTTTACAAAGTTTGCGAAATTGTCCGTGCCCTTGTCTTGGGCTTGTGGTAGCATCGTTGTGACTATCTCGATGGAGATCGAGCTTCATTCATCTGATAAAAGATTAGACTCCTGCCAGCATCACAAGAACAGCATGGGTGGGGTAGTGTCACATCGTGTGAGTAGCAGTGCATTGGCTGCGATCCGCGACTGGCCATTTCTCTTTTCTCAGTATTTCAAGATGCTGTGCACTGCATGATATGTGAATGCATCCCTCGTATCACAAGAGCATTCCTTTGCGGCAGGGATTGCGAGCAGCAAAGTATTCTACTCCAAGGGCGAATAGCTCAACACTGGTGTCCTAAAACACGAGACTAGGAACCGAGACTACTACCGTGACACGGCACTGACTCGTGTATACAGACATACACCGCTACCAAGCTCCTCTAGCTTTGAGTAGCGCCCTACTACCTACCATATCGTACCATTACGTGTCCAGGGTAGGCGACTCGGCATATTCACATGGTCTTCGCGAACTGCGAAGGTGAGGCTAGAAAACGGTGAACGAGGTGCACGAGACGACTCGGTTTTCAATTCCGCTCCAACAGAAGAAGGAGGGGAAGACGGAGAAAAAAACGTCCCCCAATCCCCACAGATTGCGTGCGGATTACTCGCATGTCTTGACCGGACATTACTGTTCAGGGCAGCACCTGCCGCAATTGAGGGGCTAGAGAGATTGTAAGAAGAGGTCGAATCACACCACGCCAAAATCAGTTTTGGAAGGGTTATCCCACGAGGTCCACATTTTCCACCGACTGTTGGGTGGCGAAGTGCTCCTTGCTCAAGGGTCTGCGGGGGTAATGACATGCTGCGGCGGCGCAGCTCGCGTACTTGAGCCAGCCAATCAATGCGGAAATTGTCAGCGAGATTGGGTGGATGGGGTGGATGGAACATGGGATTTATTCAAAGTGATCGAGAAGTTACATCAGAATTTTTTGCGAGGAATGGTTTTGGTCGCCATGCATATTGCTGGGCGGAGTGCAGCATTGTACGAACAAAGTAGCGTACAAGTTGTGTTGCACTGATTGGTGGCGGAGATGGTATCCGCTTCTTCGGTGGATCGAGGAACATGAATGCTGGTGCTGACGGTAAGGTGACAAACATGGGGTTTTTTTCGGATTCCGTTGGCGCATTGTGCTGATGCATACGAAGAAGCATGTATGTACTGTTGCTATTGCTGTTGCTGTTGCGAGAACCCAACGGGGGCAGCGTCGTGGTAGATTGGAGGAGCATGATCTCGATGTTCAATTTTCCAGACTCGGATATTAGGCTATCAAGAACTTAATACTGTTGAGTGACAAAAATCACTGATATGGGCAAAGGCCGAGGTGGAGGGGGGTGATGGCGGTGAAGGGATTTGAGAATGCGTTGGGTGGATATGCTATGCAGATGCCTGGTTAGAGCAGAATGATCAGAGCATGGTCGACGACGTGGGTCTCCACTGTGAGCTGTTTGCAACGTCGAAACTCTTTAACTGTATATGGCGTACGTCTGTCGCAATGCCGTGTCACGAACGGAGGGCTGAGTCACATGCAGCCGCTGTTGATATGTGTTGCTTGCATGATGTAGAAGTCAGGGCATGCTCTGGTGGGGCGAGACACGGCTGTGATAGCGGACTTGGTTCCGTGGTGCCTTGAGCCGAACCAAGTAATTATTGCGGGTGAAGACGAAACACAAACGAGACGACGAGTGCCGAACATTGGCTTCGGCAGTGAACAGAGCTCTGTCAGCAAGTAAGACCGGGCTATGCCAGAGGCGCTTCGCGTGACTTACTCAAGGGTGCAATGTTTTTGCAATTGTTGCGGTTATGGTAGCTGCCGCTTTGATCGACGGCGAGCTAGGGCTGACGAGGATGCACCACAACGGTTGGCCTTAGCACGGCTTGCTTGGGGGCTTTTGTGCAGTGCGCATGCTACTAAGTAGAGTATGCCTGATGCGCCGGGTGTGTGGAACGATGTGCTAGTATGAATCCATGACTGTGCATGTGTTTGGCGCCGAGGTGAAAGGTGTTATAAAATTACAGTGATGTAATGATTTGCGGACATGGACTTAGCGGCGGGAATGTCCTTTGAATAGACTTCATTTCAGCCTTGAGGTTTGCGCTGTAAAAGCAGAGTATATTGCACTCTGGCCAATGACAAGTGGGATATGCGCATATTGTGAAACGGCCAGGATGGGAGGTACAAGGCAGGCTGATGATTAAGTTCAGACGATAGGGCGGATGGTGGAACATCTGGCCCGGGCTGAGGTGGAGGAAACTTTGGCGCGAATTGGGTATACTGTTTGCTCCCGCAGCACTAAGTAGAGTACGAAGGGCGAGATGTGCACTAGGCGTTGAGTCTAAAGAGCGACGGAGAATTGTAACCGCAGCGAACAAACTACAAATGGCCCGTGCATTGGAGATAGGGCGTCTTGGCATTTTGGGAATGCACATGGACCATCAGACGCTACGACAGAAAGCATCCCTTTGGATGGCCACCCTGGATCGTGATGAGACACTGTTTATTCTTGACGAATCGACATGGATGACCGTGGTATGCATGGTCGGCGAGACAAGATTGGCGGCCGATTACGACCAGGGTCTCGCGTGCTAACCCAGGCGCAAGGGCATACATACATACATAGCAATCCTTAGGGCAGGGCGAGGGGCGAGGAGCGAGGGGCGAGGAGCGAGGGGCAAGGAGCAAGGCACCAGCAGATCGAGGTGGGCCAAGAGGAAAAGAGAGCCCGTGACAAGACGGAATGGCTTGGGGGGGGGTGAAGAGATTTGCGTCTTAGGCAGGATGAAGAGAAGGCCATGGACAAGACACCGATGACGTGCTCGAAGAAGCTTGTGGGAAGGTGGCAGCGTCCCCCTGGATCACCGACTTGGCAGCGTAACCGACAGAGTGGAACCGGAAACTGGTGGAGAAGACCGGCCAACCGATGGCAGAGTTTCCTCAATGGCGCAGCGCAACCCAGGGCCGTGGATACGCGCTATGCTGGTTTAGGGCCGGGGCTTGGCGGAAGAGCTCCCCACCAGCACGCGGGTCAGCTCGCATCGATGAGCAGGCGATCCCAAGGTTTGACAGTGCGCTGGTGGCACGGGTATGTCGCTGTGTACTTGTGTACTTGCGAGTGGACGAGGGAGAGAGAGAGGGAGAGGGTGGGGGCGTATATCCCGTGCCGCAGAAGTGCAAGGCATGCGGGGGGCCATGAGGTGCATGGTGGTCAGGTGTCGGGTGTTGGGCGTTGCAATCACACGGGCGAGAGGGAGGAGGATGCAATGGCATCAGTGATACGATGGCGTTTCAGAAGGCTGCGTATCATGTGCGATGGAGGGCTGGTGCTGACCCCCACGTGATGGGGGATCAAGTATAGCATAGGTGTAGGATCAGGATGAGCACTCTAGCCTGTAGCCTGTAGCCTGTAGCCTGTAGCCTGTAGCCTCTAGCCCGTAGCCTCCACACGGCGAGCACAGACCGCGCGAGCACGTTTTGCTAGGCGTGCAGGATAGCGTGCATGCAGTAGCAAGTAATCTCTCTTACCTTGCCCAGCCAGACGGGGCGTTGCCGCCGCTGACCGTCCCGAGACGTTAGTGATGTGGCCGAGTCCGGTACCGCGTGGTTACAAGCCGTAGTGGGTGTACTATCCTCTAAGTGTGTATATATGTGTGTGTACTATGCGACTGAGTGTGTGAGTGTGTGTGCACGGTGAGGAGCTGGGCTGAGATGAGATGAGATGAGATGGAGTGACATGACTTGGGACGACATGATGCAATCAGCCGCAAGACGCTCAGATGAATAGGCAGGCAGGCAGGCAGGCAAGTATATGTATAGGCAGGTAGGTACTAGGTAGACGGATGGGGAGTGGTAGTATGGATGTACTGTACATACTACATACTAGATACTTACACCGCCTGACGCGGGCGAGCTGGCTGTGTGTATGTGTGCTCTACTTACATACATACATACATATACACACACACACACATACACACATACATGCTACCTACATACACACTTACATACGTGGCACAGAGCATCGTTTCGGGGCATTTTGGCCTCGCCGGCGGGCTGCCAATGATGCGCGTGGATGCATAAAAAAAGGGCGGTGCAAGCATGCAGGCGTGGGTGCAGCCCGGGCAGAGAGTGGGCAGTGGGCAGTGGGCAAGTGTGCAGTGGGCGCTGTCCCCCGCCCGCTGTCTTTGACCGGCCCTAGGCGGCCATGACAGGACTAGACGTGGACCGGAATCACTCCCGCAGACCAGTGCCTTCGGCTGCAGGGCTGGCGGCGTCTGGCGTCGTCGACGACGTTGCTCCAGGAGTAGCTGGCGTGTGTCGTCCGCTTCCGCGCATCCTGTCCGGCTGCTGCATCAGCCCTTGGACGTGCGTGCCCGACCGCACACGCTCTGCGCTGCTGCACGCACTCGGCCCTGCCAGCATATCCATGTCCATGCCCACCATGCCCGTATCCCTGCCCATGGCTGCCCGAAGGGGGCGAGTGGGGCCTGTCTAGTGCGTCGCCAAAAAGCCCTTGGTGTCGTTGCAGTCCTTGCACTTGCGCGCCTTGGTCTGGCGCAACATGGCATCCCTCCATGGTTTGCTGCCGCCCAGCGATCCCCCGACCATTACACCGCAACCTCCTAGTCCATACTCGATCCTATATCCCTCCCGGCCCAGGCCCGCCGACCCACGCCCGCCCGATTGCGAGCGCCCGTCACCGTCACCTCCAATTCCCCATATATACTACATACATGGACTGCTCCCGCGCCTCACCCCCCTCCCATCCATCGCTTCCAGCGCTTCACTACTCACACACCCTCCATTACTACTACTACCACTACCACTACCACTACCACTACCACCACTACCACCACTACCACCACTCCTCCTCCTCTCTGGCTATCACGCCCTGTTCCTGCAGCCCTGATATCGCCCTTCCCCCAACAGAGCCTGGTCACCTGCCCCACCCTGCTCCAACCTGCAACTGCCCTACTAGCAAGTCCTGAGTCGCTCGCCTCGTTTGCATTGCCTGTCTCCCGTTGCCACTCCAACTAGTGCTCCAACATCATACATACTACTCTCACCTCCACTCCATTCCTCCCTCTACCCATCCATCCATTTATCCATCCACTCATCCTCAGCTCGACATAGTCTCTGGGTTGTCTACACGGCGACCCAATCCGTCCTGTCGTCACGCTGGCTACCCAAACTCTTCCCGCTATTGAGGCCCCTCATCCTCTCTTCCCCCGCCGTTTCCAGTCATCGTTGACTCCCCCATATACCAACGACATCAAGTCAGAACGCTCATGGTTGCCGCGGGGTGGCCAAGGGGGCTGTGACGACGTTTATACTACGTCGAGTCTACCCACTGAAGCACAAAGGACCCAGCAAACAACCACCCCACACATGTCGCCCATCCAGTCGTATCCAACAATGCATCCTCCATATAGGAGCCCACGGGAGCCTCCAGCAAATCCCCCCGTCTCACTCCCCCCGCTGCGTCAGCTTTCCATGACACCACCCACTCCCTCTGGCAGGAACGGCAGCTCACTTGGCGTTCACTCGATCCTCAACCCTCAAGCCGAAGTGGCTGAGCAGCAGCAGCAACAAGGCTCAAGACGTAGCCTTTCTCGTATGGAATCGTCATCTCCCATCGACACGCATCACTCACAGAGTCTGCCCTCGATTAGCCGACCAAATAGTGTCGACTCAGTATTGTCTACCCGGGAAGAGCAAAACCTCCCTAGACTATTCCAGCCCCCAGGAAGACCTCCTATGCGGCCCTCGCTGCATGACAAAGGCATCAAGAACCATACCATCAGTAGACTCAATCCACCCACAGGCACAATAGATGCCCACCAGTCACCCTTCTTGACGGCAAGCACACGCCCATCCGAGGTGGTGACGCCGCAGCACTCGGCTCTACCTACACCACCTGCCGCAGGTCGAACCCACTACTTTCCACCCACGGCTCCAACCCCACCCCCGAACATGGGCCGGCCAGATGTACATCGGCCCAATGTAAACTTTCCTCAGTCGGGCAGTGCAAGCCCCATTGCCCAGTACTCCCCATATAGCCAGCCGGCTTCCGTGGCGTCTACCCAGTACGACAACCACAGCACCCAGGGCCAATATGGTCCCGGAAGCATTGTGATGCATGATGCCCGCCAAGGCTCTGCGTCGATTGATGGCGACCGTACTAGCATGATTGCAATGGCGCCTTCGAGCCAGAGCAGCATCCAGCTCATGACCATTAAGAGTCAGCACGGGCCACCTCGCCAAATCCCCGTAGAAACACAGACTGCATCTAAGGGCGCTGACGAAAAGAGAAGGCGCAATGCCGGTGCATCTGCTCGCTTCCGAGCCCGACGAAAAGAGAAGGAACGAGAGGCTTCGATGAGCATCTCCAGGCTGGAGCAAAGCGTGCGTGACGCAAACGAAGATGCAGCCTTTTACCGCGAAGAGCGAGATTATTGGAGGTCACTGGCATTGCAGTCGCACCCCGAGCGGAACCATGGCCGGCCTCAGTCACCTCGGCTGAGACGCGCATCAGCCGATCCGTCGCGAGCACCGTCTTGCACGACCGGACATGGCTCCGAGGCGTCTTTTGACGGATACGAGGACGAGTCACGAGAGGAGGAACAGCGCAACGTGCGAAGGAGGACAAACAGCTACCACCCAGCACTGGGCTCTCACCAAATGGACGGACCTTCGCCCAGCCACGACAGTCGGGCGTATCCGCTAGCGGGATATGGGCCAACGACTCACGTACCTGGAGCGAATGCTCAAGTGCACGCATCGCCCCAAGGGCAGCCAGGCCAAACGGCAGGTCTTCAGCACCCGTCACCAGAACGGCCGCTGTACCGGGATTCGTTTGGCGCAGAGGCGGGTCGATATGAGCATCGCACGTGGGCGTCTGAACAGACCAAGGGACGGGCGCAGTAATTAAACAGGGCGAATAGAAGGTGTCTGTTTGTTGCTGCATGGGTGGTTGTTTCAAGCTTGTGGAATTTTGCAAGCGTTAATCTGCGTTATACCCATTGGTCTTCTCACCACCATGTTTTTTTTTGAAATATCTTCTCATATATGTTGCATCATGGGACGACTACAAGAGTGCATCTAGAATATCAGGCCTCCACAGGCAATGTTGGCATCATCATCATCATCATCACTATCATATCATCAGAGAAAGAAAAGAATTGTATACGATTTGTTGTTACTATTCGAGTGGATCTGATTGTGCCTGGATTGCATGTGCATGGCGGTTGGTGCCTGGAGAGGACGTGGTTGGAGGACAGCTAACCCCTGACGAGCGTCTGTCATGGACAAAGTCATCTGTGCGGTGCGGGTCTTGGCGTGTATGCAATGGTTGACGCAGAAGTTCGGTTGCGGCGGCAAGGAGAGAGGGTGCCAATGGGGGTGGTGAAGATGTGGGTTGCGTGACAGACGGCGAGGCAATGCAGAGCTAGCAAGGCCGGCGACTACTCTTACTCGTACGTGGGCGGAGGGTAAACTCTGAATTGAGCATGACAGTGAACGTATCGGGCCAGGCGAGTGCCAAGTGAGGCAAGGCAGAGGAAGAGGCAGGCACGCTACTTACCAACGGCTTCACTGTCTCTGTCTGGGTTTAGGTCATTGGCCTCTCCCGTCGCCCGTCGCCGTCCGGTCAGAGTTTGCGGCTCACTGACTCCTCTCCCGCTCGCAAACACACACACACACGCACCACAGACACACATGCCGACATGGACAAGCCCGCGAGGCTTAGTGCGCGACAATTCAGTCGTGTGTGGAGATAGGTATGGATGTCGTATGGGCTGTGGGTGCATGGCCATGTACTTAGTACTTGCACGCTCCGCTGTGGTTCCTTGGACCTACCTAGTCCGTCCTCTGATGCCATCCCAACCAGTGCCTGTTCCTCGTCCACCTCGACGCTATGCCGTCTTGGGAACGGAGCACGCCTCACCGCACCCTGACATTGCTCCTTTGGGTCACACGGCCACGGCGGCTCTCTTGCCTCTCGACCCTCTCCCTCGACTCTGGCGTCGCTTCCAGAAGAGACAAGCCACCCCCCCTCCCTCCTCTTCCCCCACCTCCCCACTTCACCACTTCACCATCTCACCATCTCACCACCCAACCTCGTCGCCATCGCCGCCATCGCCACCATCCATGTCACTCTGCCGCCGAGGGCCCCAGCTCCAGTATACCATGCGCATAACGTGCCTACATACATAGCACTACTACATAGTACATACGTCTGTCTGTCTGTCTGTCTGTCTGTCTGTCTGTCTGCCTGCCTGGACATGCGCCATGCTTCCCTCCGCCCACTTTGCGTCGCTCTCCGCCGCAGCTAGAGTACGCACACACACGCACACCACTCGCTCCACCACCACCACCAGAGCGGTCAGAAGCCACCTGACCATGCCGTTGGAAACCGGCCAAGCGCGCATGCTTCGTCAAACCTTAACCCTCTGCCAACGACGTCCCAAGTGTACCCGTCGGAGGCTACTCCGGGGTGGTCCGTCAGACGGTGGGGCGTCTGTTGCTCGGCTCATTCGATGGCCAGACCGGAACTTTAAGTGCGCTATCATAGCGTCCCTGCTCGCCGATGAATGACCTGCGTGAATCTTGACTGGTAATATTATCAGATCAGCACCACTCGCTCCATGCTGCTAGCATCCCCCTTCAACAAATCTCCGTTCGTCCTGTCTACTAGCTGTACATCCCTGTCGCAAACTACGACCAACATCGTCGTAGTTGCAACTCGTAGCAATGGATCTCAGCCCACAGCCATAGCAGCCCTGGTAGCTCCAACTTTGTCTGTCGACAAACGGTCCGAATGACAATGACAACTTTGCCGTCCCAGCAATCCTAGTCCAACGTGTCAGCTCTCCAAAAGCCCTGGTTCGCATTCGTATCCTCGAAACTGGATTTGCACCCTCTCCTGGGCCGTGGCTGCACTCAATATCGACTATCTATGTACATGCGGCTGTCGTGCGAATGACTGACAGCGTGCGCACACATACATTGAACCTGCGACATCTTCGCAAACTGTCACTTTAGTCTACAGGGGGGTTAGCACGCGTCAACTCATTACATATTTTCCAACACCCACCCTGCCCTTTGACTACTAGACCATGTTGTGCCTTGTGCGCCTTAGGGGCACTTGCGTTGGAGAAGGGGAGGGGGAATACCTTGTATGGTCCAAACTCGTGCAAATACTACGGACTTCTCCATGACCCCTCTAATAGCCCTATACCAGATGACGGAACGGGAAGACGTATGCCATCTCACGTGCGTAACGCGATCCTGCTTACGCTCTGGACTCTGACTCTGGACTTGTGGGCTCGTTAACGTACCGCTACGGCCCATGCACGACATGCCTCCGCTGATCGAACCCTCGTCATCGGGCCTTAGCATTAGACTAACCGAGTCCCCCGAGCAGTGCACGTAACCGCCATTACACCGCCATCTCTCCAAACACATCATTTCTCGCCGTCATACATCCGCCTTCCGTCTTCCGCCCTCGCTACCTATCCCGCTATCGGTCTGGCCTTGACTCGCAATGCTTGTGCGGGCATCTATATTTCTTCTTTCGGTTCCTTTTTTCTTTTTTTTTCTCCAAGTCCCTCTTCTTTTGACCATTCTCTTACTAGGATAGTAGTAGTACATTGTGGGACAATGTCATCAGGGATGCAGGGTCGTGTTCCAACTAGGATATCGCCCAGTGTACGTGTGTAGAAATCGACGCGCACCAACCGCTCATTATTCCGCAATTCTGCATGATAACAGGACAGGAGAAAGAGCCGCTCTGGGTATGTAAATGATGCACTGGGGTTGGGTTGATGACACGCTGCAACCCGGTTTAGTGACTTGCCCAATCAAGCAGAAACCTGGAGTAGGATCTCCGGGCCAATCTTACCGTTTACCTCTGCCGTGGGTTCACAGGGCTGTAAGACCGTATGTGTCGCAGCGGTTCCGGCTCATGTCTCCTTACTGCTTACATATCCTTTTGTTTTACCCGCTTCAATTGCCCCAACTCAGGTTGCTGACGTCGGCCCGATCAGCGAGACATACGGGGATGCTGAATTGGTGTGTGCTCGGTTTGCACCACAATGCCCTCTAAACGCTCTCGGACAACTGCCGATGTGCTTTTTTTTTCACGCTTCACCTCCGCGACGACGCAACATGTCATGGAGGTGGCCCGAGGGCCCCACGATGACTTTGCAGGGCACCAGGCGGTTGACCTGCCTCATTGCAAAGTACAGCTTATGCAGCTCATGGTTTTGTTTTTTTCTGATGACTCGCACCGTCTTGTCTTTTGTCATGTACGTACATATGTGACCTCCCTATAGTTTGTCGCTCCTGGCCGACGGCAAATCACATGCGCACGGACAGCCCACTTTCGACACGTGTATATATCTGTATATGCACCCTGCATTGCTTCCATGATCACCATTCGATTTCTCTCCACACGGCCTGCGCCGGTGTCGTTTGTCAGTGGATTGCTCGCCCGTCACGCGCTGCTCCGCCTGCACGCGATATTTGCTTTGGCTGCACGGCTCTTTTGCCATGTTGATCCAAGGGCCAGAACACTATTGATCGATCAGATCTGCACATGAGTCAACGACCTTGTAAGATGAATAGCAAGGGTGGGTGACACGGCCTCTGGCGCAAAGTTACGGAATGTCGCACGGCATCGGTTCTATAACCGCGATGGAACCCGCACATATGGGAACCCTTGCCAATCGCGACAATCACAATCGGGGCTTTTCTTCAGCGGCAAACAATTTGAGGCGAAAAAAAAGAAAACACACACACACACTTACACACCTATTTAGACTCATCTACAAACAGAACGGAAGTGAGTTTCCAGCACATCCGAGACGCGCTGCAATGCAATGCAATGCATTCAACCCGGTTGGTTTTGAGGACCCCTAAAATACGTCCAAGAATCTCTCAGGCTTGCGGGGCCGATATCCGCATCCTTCCTGTTCCCCTCTTCTTTTTTTGTCCCTCTATTGCATACGTGCATAAGCGTAACTCCCCTGTGACTTTGCGACGAGCTACTGTACGGCGTATACGCCTGTGTCTCTTGCTCGACCGAGATACTTTCGGGTGAAACAATACAACCGCCAACAACAGACAGTCCAACATTCATGAGATGTTGAATATGCGCTCATGTTACGAAATGGTATGATCTTTCTCTCTCTCTCTCTTATAGCCTAGTGATGTATATGTCAGGTCTAGTATTTGTTATAGATGATACTTTCTTGATCGGACCATTTATCTGTTTGTTTCTTTTTCCCTCAAAACGCATGGCGGTATCGAATTATGCCGGGTGTGATTATTTGCACATTTGATATATGTAAGTAGCATACTTGAATCTCGCTGCAGGAGAGAAACGTCGGCAAACATGGTCACACACACACCTCGGCATGCCGAGAATCCTTAAATCGTCAGTACGTAGGTGTACGCGCATTGCCACGTATGATGCCACAACCATGTCCTCGAACAACGACAACGGGAGAAAAGTAGTACGAATGGAGAAGGGAAGAGGATGATGCAATGTCGAATGCATCTGGACTCGATTGCTGACGGAGACGCTATCAATACTTTGCCAAGTTGCAACTAGCAAAGCAAAGAACACTATTGTTCTCCAACGAACGATGCACGCACCCACACCAAAAAAAGGGCGCTGCAACCCTTAGTAACCGCCAAAATGTCCGTTCGTACCCGAATGCACAACGCACGGCGCTTGCGTCGTATATACGCATGTTCACTAGCCAAACAGCTTCTCCGGCCCCCAGCCACCCGCCTCTCTTTTTTTTGCTCTACTCTTGTCTTCGCGCTTCCTTGAAACACAATTTTACCTTTTCTCACCCTGTCTCACTCTTGCAGTAAAGAAAAAAACGCCCGACCCAGAGGATCGGGTCCGGCGCATCTTTGCATGCACGGCGAAGCGCAAACTCAAAGCCAAAAAAGACCCCTGTCTAGCTTCTAGCTTCCCCTAGGTATGGCAAGATTTTGTTGCTGAAGCCCAACCATGCAAGCCATGCAGCACAACACAATTCACTCATGCATGTCAGCACATGGTTTGAGACTGGGGTAAGGGGTGGGTGTGGGTGTGGGTGTGTCTATCGCCAAGGGACCCGCATGTGCATATCCATCATGTGACTGGACTGTTCTGGACTGGGGGGGGGTTTATTTATTTCCGCACAACGAAGTCTGCGCGCGAATCGGAGACGGATCCTGTGCAGATTTGAAAAGAAGGTTAGTTGAAGCGAGAGATAAAATATTGGTCATCGTAATATTATGATTAGAAAAACACGGGGCGACGCGGGAACGGGAAACGCGGGCAAACCGTGTTTTGCCGAGAGAAGGGGGAGGGATGTTGCAGGGTCATGCTAAGGCCAGCTGCGAATCATCACATCTGCAATCTGCCTTTGGCCAATCTTACTCGCAGACAGCATACATGGAGATATCATCAATAAGGTTGAGGCTAAGCCCCAAATGCCGAATCAATGGTGCTTACATTGTTGTTGTAAGGCGGACATGGGTTGGTTTCTGGACTTGGGTATTTTGGTTGGGTTAATTTTATTTTGGGCTGTGTTATGTAGTATGTCTTGTCGCAAGATACGATCTGGGGGCTTGAGGAGGGATGTGTGCATCGGCCAATTACTGGACTCCACACTCGCACACACGTCTCCGAGCCGTGTGTACTTGGGGTGAGTAGAAGAAAAGGGTGTGTGTGTGTGTCTTGCATGCGTGATGACCAGGCGGGGGGATGTGTGCGCATGTGCACTCTAGTTTCCCCATGTTCTAGACACCCATACACGCACATCCATCCACACACACGCACACCCGCACACACCACTTGCAAAGAACCTAGTCGGGTTTGAAAAGCAGGGTCAAAAGGACAAGCCTTTTTTCTGGTTTCAGGCAGCTCGTATCTTTGGATGCGAGGGCGGAAAGAAAGCATGGAGGAAAAAAAAGGAAAGAGATAATACCCAAGAGCACCCAAGCAAGCATGCACATGGTAAGATTTGGGACGACTGTTTGGGCGCAACGCACGTTCCGAACCGTTGCCTTCCCTTCCGCCTAACCGCTCCCCCGCCGACGGGGGGCCCAGCGCGCCGCACCTGCTCGTCATATTTGCTTTGGCTGCGACTACCAAAGTGGTGTCTGATGACGCACCATGAACCCTCTCACCTTTGTGCTTTACTTTTGCTCCTCTTGCTTTTACTCTTCTGCATAAACTGCATCCCCCTTCGTTACATGCAGCCATTTCTGCCTTCTTCCCCGGAAAAAAACAATCAAACCGCCAGCCGAGAACTAAAAAATTAAATTTACCAATTATGAAGAATGAGGCTGCAGAAGCGTTTTGGATCTGGTGCAGCGACACACACACACACACACACACACACATCCCTCCACACCCCCCAATAGCCCTCCGCCCCTCTCCCCTTTTGTGACCGTACATCGCAACTGCTGCATGCACACGTAAAGGTTTTATTTTGTCACAAAAGCCGCTCGTAACGCCTCATGCGATCGCTGCCTGCAAGTCAAACAGGTTACGCCATTACTCGGGGGCGGCGTGCGCAGCAGCAGCAGCAGCAGCAGCAGCAGCATATGTGGGCTTCTTTGGTTGCATCCGCTACCAATCTTTGCGTTTGGGTAGTACTGCCTATTTGCCACCACACACCTGCATGCTGACCCGTTTTCGATGCAAGTGTGTGGTGGACTGTATGTAGGTGACCCCGACACCCGGGTACACGTGTATCTCCACCAGGTGTTAGAGTTGGGTGTGTGTGTGTGTGAAAAGCACGCAAGCACACTTACTCACACTTACTCAGTCATACATGTATGTCGCTTCTTTTGCTCATTATCCAATGAATGACTTGCGCGAATCGCTGCTGAACGCAAAAGAAGCAAAAAAAACATACGAGACACGAAATTCTATTTCATGCAAGGCCCTCTCGAATTGGCTTGAGGCTGTTGCGTCTTTTTTCTTCTCTTTGCTGCTTGACACATAGGCGCTTCCTCTTGCGCTGGACCATTATCCATGCTGTCCATGTGGAAATTAAAGTGGGCATCAAAACCGCACGTGTACTGCTTGGTCAAAGTGGCAAAGGATCAAGAGACTATTATCAGGTTTGATATTACCTTTTGCGTACCTATGTGCCGCGACAAGCGGTGAGTATCGTATCGGTTGCCGACACTTGGAAGGAAGAACAAGCGTATCAAAATACGTAGCATGTATCCACGTAACTCACAGACTTGTAGCCCCGCTTCCTACAGTAGGCACCATGGCTGACGGTGCAAGCAAGATTGACCCTTTCGCCCCCAAACATTCACACCGAAAAAAATACGAGAGACAAGATGGGGGCGACTCCAACTTCCCGTATACACAGCAAGAAGGAAATCAAGAGATGAACGACATATCCGACCTTCTGTCTCTTCAGCATGCAAGTAGAACCCCTCCAAACACCCATATCGGCGATATGCAAACTCGCAGTAGTTCAATCGGTTACGTAGAACCATCTTAACCCAGTTGTATCACCAACCCGTTCGCCATCCCACCTACCGCCCCCACTCCGCCTCCCTCGCCTACGCTGTGCCGCAAATCCGATCTCAATGCCGTAGATACTCGGCACGAAAGGGTACCACCATAAGAGAAAAAAACAAACGGCCCAAAATCTGCCGTAAGACGGTGAGTGTGGAGTGGGGAGTATGGAGTGGGGGGGGGGAAGGAAGGGGTGGTGGCATCTCGGAAATTCGTCTGCCAAACAAAAGCCGCACCAGGCCCGCCCAAGGCCCAAGGAGCAAAAAAAAGGCCAACAAGCGAAAATAACTTAAACTGACGCAACACACACACATGGCACACCGATGAGGCAAAAGCCGGCCCGCTGTCATCGCCCCGTCACCGCCGCGTTGCCGCGTTGCCGCCGCGGCGGGAAATGTCGTCAAACAAAAAAAATTAAGGGTAAACACAGATTGGCGAGAACAAAACAAAAAAAGAGGGGGTAAGGTAAGCATAAGGGGACAATGAGGAGAGTAAAAAAACGATAGGGTCAAGGGAATCGGGAGATGCGGGAATGACGGGCGCCGGGCGTGCATTCCACCGCGCGTGCGAGCGGCATAAGCATGGGGTTTGCCTCTGTGTGTGTGTGTGGGCGCGGGCGCGGGGGGCTGGGCTGGGCTGGGCCGGCTGGCTGCTGGCTGCTGGCTGCTGGCTACATGTATGTGTATATGTGTGTGTGATGAACGGGCGCGCGCGGACGGCATGCCGTTTGGAAAAGAAAAAGCGGCACAGAGCCGATAGATGCTCGACATTACTTGCCTTAACCCTACCCCGGCCTCATCGGTGTGCTGTGCTTTTCGTTTGCTGATGGCTTGTTTTTTTTTTAACCCTATTTTCTTTTTTCCGGGAGGGGGGGAAGGAAGCGTGGCGTAGGTTTGACATACATGGTGCATTGGTGTGTGTGTATGTATGGCTTACAATGTTTTTTTTTAGCGAGTATGTATGGGAAGTGCCGTTTTTTGTGCGTCTTGTGTATATGCATGTGTTCTCTCTGGAAAAACAAAGGAAACGTCATGGAAGGATTGCGAATGTGGCTTGTCATGTGATCTTTTTTTTTCTGACTACTACTACTACTACTACTAACGACTATCGTCTGGGCTGAAGCTGGTTGGTTTGGCGTTTTTTACTTCGCGATGTATTACCCAACTGCACGCACGTACACACACACACACACACACACACATTTGCGACCAAGACCAGGTCCGCGGAAACACAGCATTTGCCCAGTCCGCCTATCTCACACTCACACACATACACCGGATCCCCCGTTCCAGCGTGTAACATGGCATTGCTGTTTCTGGGTGGCATCCAATATGGTAGTATTACGAGTGAGACGTGGGGGCAACGACTTCACATGCAAAGCGTTACGTGGGGTACAAAAAGGTAGGGGAGGGTGTGGGGGTTGCCCTTCTTTTACTTCTTTCGGAGACACAGGAATCTCAGTTGCGCGGAGATGCACAGTCACAAGAAACGTTGCAGGCGTGCAGTCATCACAAAACCAACATGGGCGTTTGATAAGAAACAAGAAAAGGCCACCCAGCTCCTTCGCTTATACTGGCTGCACTATTGCTACCTGCACTGCATTGTTGCCTTGCGTTCAGCCACGACCGACGCCGAAGCGCGTACGCAAAGTGTTGAGCCTCCGCAAAGTCTCGGGCATATCGTTCATGCCGTTCTCCGTTCGCGTCAGCCGATATGCAGAGTAGTTCCTGTTCTCCTCCACCAGCGTGTCAAGCAGCGTGAACTCGCCAATCACACACTGGCCCGAGCTGAGCATTTCCATGGCATCTGCATGACCCGACTCGGATTCGGGTAGCAGCATGTCGTCTTCGCCCCCGGCCTCTGCGCCCATGTCCGATAGCGTGTCGGTTCGGTGAAGCACCCCTCGCTCCTCGTCATCAGCATCCTGTCCGCGGCCCACATTGGTATTCGCTACTGCTGCTGCTGTTGCTGTTGCTGCCCCCGTTTCTGTTGTAGCCAAGTCTGACGTTGCTCGGTTGGTGGTAGTGTTCGATGCGCCTCCTCCTCCACCAGCTGCTAGCTTTGCTAGCTTCTTCTTAAGTTCCCGCCTCTTTACATGCACTGACACCATGACGAGCTGCAGGAACAGTATGCATATGTCGAGCGCGCCCAGCTTCCACTTGCTCGTGGGGCCCTGTTGGCCGATGAAGTCAATCATCAATCCGCCATGAAGGTAGCCTCGTGTGTCCTCGCCAGCTGCAGGCGCCGGATATGTGAGATGCAGGAGAAAGGTGACGCCAAAGGAGAAGAGGAGCAGCGGAAGAAACGGCTTGGGCTCGTCTGGCGGCCGGGTGACTGTCACAGTGTCGGGAATCGGGGTAAGCAGTGTGCCGTGGATAAAGGCCTTGAATGCCAGCCAAAAGAATGAGCAACTACAATGTGTGTGTGGTCAGCGGCACAGTTGCAGCGCATCGCCGTCGGGGCGCATACTCTAGATGGTAGAGAGTAATGAGTTCCAAGTAGACAACCATGTCCAGGTCACGCAGCAGCTCGCCCAGCATCTGGATGCGCTTCCTCTTTGCATCCATCCGCCTCTGTTGCACCTGTTTCTCTCTTTCACGCTCCTCGGCTGCATCGAGTCGAGCTATTGCATCTTCCAGGGCCTCCAGGGCCGCCAAACTAGGTGCGCTGTCGTCATGGCGCCGCGGTGCGCGAGACGACTCGGCCTCATCGTCCATGGCGCAGCGAGGGGATTTGGCGTGTCGCTTCGTCTCTCATTGAAGGCGACGGGCGTAAGTGACAGGCGGAGTTGACGGGCGTTTGTCCTCGAACTCTCGGGGGACCCGAGAGGCTCTTGTCTCCTCTAGGCCGCAACCCGCATCGGTGCTGGAAAATCAGGAAGGGCCGATGGCCGAGAGTGGTGAGATAATCGATTGCTCCGCATCTTGAACCAAGTTACAACCTACTGCAGTAGCCTACCAGTGTCTCTAGAGCCTCTATTCAGTGTTCACTTGAGCCTGGAGCCTCTGCTTCATAAACAAAAAACCCAAAATTCATGTAAAAATTACAAACTTGCTCTCATCGACCCACGCGACTCCTCCGCCACCTCCGCATTTGCATCTTGCGCCCACCATGTCTTTTGGTCCTCCCAACAGCGCGCCCCTCCCCTCTTCCTTTGACGAAAATGAGTAAGTAAACACTATTTCTCAATCGATTCGGCGACATACAAGCATCTGAAGCCTCAATTGCTTACATTTGCACCAGGGACTTCTACAACGAAAACACCATTGACAAGATATGGCGCCGGCTCCGTGAAGAGCCCCTCGTGCCCCTCGGCTGCGGCCTCACCGTCTGGGCCATTGTAGGCGCAACCCGCTCCATGCGCAAGGGCGACCACAAAATGACAAACGTCTACTTTCGCCGCCGTCTCTATGCACAAGCTTTCACCATTGCCGTTTTAGTTGCAGGAAATATGTACTGGCAAAAGGACCGTGTCAAGCGCAAGGAGTATGAGAAGAAGGTTGCAGAGAAGGAGCGCATGGACAAGAGGGAGCGATGGCTGAGAGAGCTGGAGATGCGAGACGAGGAAGACAAGGCATGGAAGGAGCGAATGGCTAAGAGGGCTCGGGGTGCGGCTGAGGAGGTCAAGAGCGAGGCAAGGGGTGTTACGGATATGGTTGCTGAGAAGACGAGGGAACTCAAGGACAAAACTGTGGGAAAATAAGAGGCGGGTGTAATCTGATAGACCAGCTCTATGAGATGAGAGGTCAAGAAACCCATGTGAAGAAACGCGTTGGGGGCTGGGCATCTCTGAAAACTTGAACCTTTGCTGTATATGTATTGGGCACTGTACGAGTACATTTGGGGGAACTTGAAATTACGTCGATTACGAACACTCAATCACTATTAGGTGCATTTGGTTTGCGCTACTCTGCTTCGAAAGTATGAGCGCGTCGAGGTATCATTTGCGTCATTTGTAACAATAAAGCAATTCGTCTATTCATTCTTAGCTGCCAATTTATCAACATACAAGGATTCAGCTTGACCTCTGTTTTTGCCGCAGACCATCTTGATACCTTTACGCTCTGTCGATACTTGTAAACCCGCATCTCAACACCGCAAGATCTTCGATATTGCAACCTTCCAAACAGACTTTGACTTTTACCGGCACCCCTCAGACAACATCAAGCAAGGCTTCTATCCGGATAAAAGTGAATAGGATACAATCCTGTATCAAATCCTGAATCTGCATAAAGTACATATGCTTCACAAAGAACCTTATCGGCCCGGTCGCCAAATATCCTCAAACGCAAATTAGTAAAGTGACCAATATACCTACAATGCGGCTCTACCTGTATAGTTCAAGAGAGAAAAGACAGAGACGACCAAATCCTTGCGTCAACATTTTACCCGGATCAAAGAGCACAACGATCCGAAAAAAACGTGCGTTCAGCTGCACAGGCATTCGCGGACCGTTTAGCCGGCAACGGGCATCCGCCATCTTAACGGATGTACTATCAGAATTGTATATTCGACGGCCGGGTCACTAATTCCCACGCTTGTGGTATACGTAGCATTCATTTCTGGCTAGCAGCACAGGGCGAACAGACTACATTGGTTATAGATGCGCAGTAGATTGAAGGAAGGAGAGGGGAAGGCAGCGATAAGCGGGCCAGAAAGAGGTCGACATGTCAAAAGCGGGAAGCCGTTCCTAGCTTCAACAGCGGCTCATCGGGACGTCATATCAATAAGGTACGTATGAATTTGGGTTTCCCTCCTTTCTCCTTTTTTTTAAAAGTCTTGTTTACACGCACATACACACACATACGTTTCTTGTACACAGCAAAGTCGATCAGCCGGTGGCTAGCAGAGAGAAGGGTTAAAAAGGGAATTGAAAGAGTCGGTGGGCCCCGGTACAAACGAGACGGGTAACAAGACATCTTTGAAAATGTCCGAGGTTAAGAAGTATGAGATAACAGAGGTATGTTTGGTATTTGCTTTTGTGTGGTATTCTGAAAAATGGGAAGTGGGAGATGGGGTGAGGTAGCTCTTAAGACCTACCCCGCCAAGGTCAGACAGCCCCCCTCCATTGTGAGGATTGCAACAAAGAGAAGAGAGTGAACTTGATATCCAACTCATATCGTTACAAGAAAACGCCACAGACACGAATTGACAATTCTCACTGGCAAAGAAGAAGTTCCAATCACTGACTATCTCCCCCCTCCCATAGCCATGGCTCAAAACCCACTGCGCTCTGGGCGAAGGCCCCTTCTGGGAAGAGGATAGAAACAGCATCCGCTTCCTTGATGTCGAAAAGCAAACCGTCATGCGCGTCGACCTCGCAAAGGGCCCCTCAAGCTTCAAAACCATCAAAAACTACGACATCTCCATCGGCTGCACTGCCGACATCGAAGGCAACGACGCGGAATTCATCTTCGCCGGAAAATACGGCTTCGGCATCGCCAACAAAGAAACCGGCGAATACCGCTGGGTGAAAAAAGTCTGGTCCTCCTCCGAAATCAGCGCAAACAAGCACGAAATCTTCCGTGGCAACGACGGCGCTGTCGACTCCCAAGGTAGGTTCTGGGCGGGCTTCATGTTCGACCCTCTCGTCTCCGACATGCGATCAGACGGCGCGGTATTCCGCCTCAACCCGGACTTCAGCCTCGAGCGCCCCATGGACGACATCTGCATCCCCAACGGAACCACGTGGAACAAGCAGGACGACATTTTGTACTTTACGGATAGCCCGTCAAAGACGATTTACCAGTTCGACTACGATGCCAAGACTGGTGAGATCAAGAATCGGCGGCCGTACTTTGTTATGCCAGAGGATAACCGGTATGGGGAGGATGCGGTGCCCGATGGCCATTGTCTGGATGAGGAGGGTTACATGTGGACGGCGCTGCATGGTGGGTCTTCCGTCCTGCGGATTTCGCCCCAGGGCGAGATTGTAGCCGAGATCAAGGTGCCGACGAGCCAGCCGACGTGTCCTTGCTTTGTGGGCGAGGAGTTGTTCATTACTAGTGCTGGTGGTACGAGCGGCGAGAATGGCGGCCCCGTTGATGAGTTTGCTGGGTGCTGCTTTAAGATCAATGTGGGTTTGCGGGGGCTCAAGAAGTTCAAGTTCAAGGGTGGAGACAAGATTGAGGGTGGAAAGGTAAATGGACAGGTTGTTGCGGAGTAAGAAGATGCTATTCTGGGAGACAAGACTGCTTCGTCCTGTGTGTACTACACATTCGAGGGCATTGAAAAAGTCAGTGTTACTGGGCAAGAAGCTGGTTTCCTCCCAGTTACGCCCATGTCTAAGCAAGTTTGGGCGGAGGAGTTATTCTCTAGTAGCATTGCCATAGACATGAGGATGGGGTAACTAGAAAGAAAAAATCTATTTTCAAAACTTGCTGTGTTGTTTAGGAGGTGTTCACCTCTCTTCAGGCTCCATAACTCCCATCGCTGAGGGCCGCATTGTTCGCATTCTGGAAAATAGTCCAGTTCTCCCCAAAATGCTTTGTTTCTTAGTTCGATTGGATAAGAACGGTCGAGGTGACATGATCATGTCAGTGTACGACCATCATTACATACACAGAATGGTCAAGAATGCGGGGAAGCTGGGCTCTCTCGTCTCATCATCATAGCACACTATGCCCGTCACTGCTTAGTCTCAAGTTCTCGTACAATGTTGTGTAGCATTGAGGGTATCATATTCAATTTGTGTAGTCTTGGAAGCCGAGGGTTGCTGCTTGATGAATGCAGCTCACCGGTGAACCATGGGAGGCTTAGGAAAAAGAGAGGGGAAAGGGGAATTGGTGATGCAGTAGGGATGGTGGAAGGCAGACTCGGAAAAAAAGTATATAACGACGTTGAGGAGGGCGATTTTTTCGAGATGTATCCTACAAGTGTTTTCAGTATTCATTGAATTGAATCCTACCAAGATACATCGTCTCCAACATCATGCTTCCCACCAAGACTCTGCTTACCGCCCTCCTCATCGCCGGGAGCGCCTTTGCTCTCCCTGAGACAGCGTCCAGCGGCGCCGTTGAAAACGTTGCACGCGAGGCTGCTCCACTCGCCGAGGCCGTCCCTCAACCTGCTACTCTGGACAAACGGGCGTGCAGGTGCGTCCGAGTCTCTAATCCAGGTATGTTGCCCCATGACAAAGAGACAAACACGAAAGCTCAAGGCAGTATAGGCCTCTACTGTGGATACTGCTACAGTGGCACCATTGTCACCTCTGGACGTATCAACAACCATGTGTACTGGTGCAACACCGCTGGAGGCTGTGATGATCTTGGCGTTAGAAACAGTTGCACTGCCAGGGATGGACCGTGTGATGGCAGGGATAGCGGCTAAATTGAGATGTGAACATTCTGAAGAGAAAGGATCGTGAGTGATAGTGTGTAGTGAGGATGGTCGTGTCATTCGTCGCAGTGCAGATCTGTCGGGCGTTTACGTTTGATTCTTTTTTGCCTCGAGCTCACACTCATTTGGGTATTTGGAGTATATAGAGAAGAGAAAATATAAAAAAAAAGTTGCCTAAGATTGTACTGCTTCCTTTTGCTTCCTGGCTTCGTCTTCTTCTGGCGTGCGAGTGGTGAGTTGTAGGGCGTGGATGCCGCCTTCTTTTGCCATTTCGTCTTTCATCAGGGCATTGACCATGCGGTGTCTTGCAACCTGCATCTTGCCCTGGAAAGCAGGTGATGTGATGTGTACGCTGTATAAATCAGCACGAGACACGGAAGGAGTGTAATGTTGCACTGTTTTTTTTCGTTACCGGAAGTGTGTTTCTCTGCTAGTCACTCCTTGCATGGCCTTGTGATGGGCATGCTTGTGAGAGTCGTTGAAGATTTCTAGACTTGTGGGCTTCAGCGCCTCTGTTATCTGGCGACAAGTCAATCTCTCTGAACATATGATATATGTATCGTGGAAAAGCAGAGGTCTGTCACCTTTGTCCGCAGAGCATCTTCCATTGGAGTCATGGATTGGGCCATGGCTGACACAAAGCGCCGTCCCGCGAGGCTGGCTCTTTGGAAGAACATGCACAATCCTGTGTTCCTAATTGGGCGTCGTGATGGTGGTGAGGATGAAAGAGGTTGGGTGCATGAGCACTATTGGTCGCAGGTAGTATGGAGCAAGTAGTAGGGAAGACGACAGGCCGATGCAGGCGTGCCAAGGCGGGGTCGGAAAGCGGAAAGCGATCGGCGTTCGGATGGATCGCGTCATGGTTCGGAAAGTATGAAGCACAAGGGAAAGAGCAATTGAAGCAGCCACTCAGCCCAGAAAGCTACCGAAACCTTCTTATTGTCTCCGTCACTGCATCCTCCATTCAACCAGGCTATTTTTCCAGTCCGCATCGGCATTCATCAGCGGTGAGCGACGCAAACAGAGCCAGCATGACTCGGGCGCAGTCACTGCAGCATTTCACCCTCGAAACCCGCATCCTCCTGCGCTGATCCCGCATCTCTTGCCGCCATGTGGGCGCGTCACCTCTTCTTGCGCACCCTCGCCCGACATAAATCACCACCGACGGCCTACACCACCCACCACTCCTTTCGTTTTGCCCCCTCTGCTCTGCACTCTGTCAGAATGGCATCTACTCTGCCCCGCCTGCCCATCTTCGAGGCCATCAAAAAGCACAATGGCCAGTCTACAGCAGTTGTACACTCACTATCTGGGCGCTCCTTTACCTACGGAGAGCTCGTCAACGACGTCGCGGCAGCAAAGGACAAGCTGCAGCGGAATTGCAACGGCGCAAGTGCAGAGGGCCAGCGCATCTCCTTCCTCGTAGAAAACGGCTACGACTATGTAGGTGCGCATTCCTCTTACCCTCGTCTGTAGCCTCGTGCCAGCACAACTGCTAACCTCCGCCCAGTGACGCTCCTCTCCATTCTCGCCGCACACGCCATTGCCGTACCGCTGTCGCCCGCTTTCCCCGCCCACGAGTTGCGCTACATCATCGACCAGAGCGAGTCCTTGATGCTGCTTTCTTCTGAGAAGTTTCAGAGCCAGGCTGACGAGGTGCTCAAGGAAGGCATAGCCACCAAACCCATCAACTACAAGCAGGACAAGATTATGATGGGCAAGACGGATGACTATGTCACTCTTGAGGAGCCCCGCAGCAATCAGGGAGGCATGATGCTCTACACCTCCGGCACCACGAACCGACCCAAGGGCGTGCTGCTTCCTCAGGATGTGCTAACAGCTCAGTCGCAGTCCCTTTTAGAGGCATGGAATTACAGCAGCGATGATGTGTTGCTCCACGTCCTTCCCCTCCACCACATTCACGGCACCGTCAACGCATTGCTTACGCCTCTCTTTGCCGGCAGCACCATTGAGTTCCAGTTTCCCTTCAACGCCTCAGCTGCTTGGGAGCGCCTTGCAGCTCCGTTCCTGCCAAACCCCGACCCGGTCAAGAAGCCGATTACTTTCCTCACTGTCGTTCCAACCATATATACGCGCCTGCTCGCCTCTCATGCTAGCCTTTCGCCTGAGCTCCAGGCTGCGACCAAGACCGCTCTTCACCCCTCGAATATGCGCCTCAACATATCGGGTTCCGCTGCCCTCCCCACACCTGTCAAGTCGGCATGGACAGAGCTTAGCGGAGGCAACGTGCTGCTGGAGCGATATGGTATGACCGAGGTTGGCATGGCCCTCTCTTGCGGTCTCGACTTTGCGGACCGTGTGGATGGTTCGGTCGGCTGGCCGCTTCCTTCGGTGCAAGCGCGTCTCGTCGATACTGAAACTGGACAGGTTATAGAAGTGGGTGACGAGATTGATCCTACGACGGGCCGTGAGCGACAAGGCGAGATTCAGTTACGTGGACCAACTATCTTCAGGGAGTATTGGAAGAACCAAGAGGCCACGTCTAAGGAGTTCACCGAGGATGCTGATGGACAAGGCAAATGGTTCAAGACTGGTGATGTCGCAGTCCGGAAGGCCGTCGAGGGAGCGGGCAAGAGCAGCCAGCCATGGGCGAAGGGTCCTCTGTACTTCATCCACGGTCGCAAGTCAGCTGATATTATCAAGACTGGCGGAGAAAAGGTTTCCGCTCTTGAAATTGAACGGGAGATGCTTTCCCTCCCACAGGTTGATGAAGTCGCTGTCGTCGGTCTACCTTCAGAAGCCTGGGGTCAGAAGGTCGCTGCCGTAGTTGTGCTTTCAGAACAGGGTAAAACTGCTGGCAAGGGAGGCAAGCCCTGGTCAGCGCTTGACATGAGGAGGGCGTTGAAGGAAATACTTGTCAACTACAAGATTCCTCAGGAGATGAAGGTCGTAGATACTATTCCGAGGAACGCCATGGGCAAGATCAACAAGAAGCAGCTGGTTAAGCAGATCTGGGGCGAAGTCGCTTGAGGAGATCGGCACTGTACAAAAGTAGAATGATGGTGTATAGATAGATGACGACGACGACGACGACGGAGCATTTGTATAGGAAGAAGCGAGGATGGCCAATCACATTATGCAACACGGGCGGTTTCAATGTATGTTGCTTGGAGATCGTATTGCGCAAAATAGCGTCATTGCACTCCAATCAATGATGGATATTGAGATACGACATCAGGAATATGAATCAGACAGCATACCTTTTACTCACCATTCCATTGCCCCACGCGAATAATAAACACGCACTCTAGGTCTATGTGCATCTCATCCACTCCCATTTTTCGACATGTTTATTCCCGGTCCCATCGTCATCACCACTCATCCGCATTACCCACACTAGCGCATACCCCGACGCCTCTGACTTCAGCCCAGACCCTTGACCACACCTACGTACATAGTAACCAAATGATTAGAGTAGCTTTGTGCACTAAATAGAAAAGTGTGTCTGGGGAAATGCGGGGGAGAAGAGGACAACAAGGGGGCTCGGGGCTAAGACGGGAAGGAAGCGTGGCGCACGTCAGAGGAAGGGAGCGGGGTGGGTCGCATGTCGGCGATGTGTGGTGTGGTGTGGTGTGGTGGGCGTAGCGTGGCGTGGAAATCGGGTGACGCTGGGATTGGTGTGGAGCAATGTTGAGGTGTGCTTGCGACAAGAGTATACACCATGAATTGATTGGTGTTTTCATTTTCAATTTATTAAACAAGTAGTTAGGTAGATTATTTGGGTATTCGGAAATTGGTATTAAGAAAAGAAAACGTAGAGTAAGTAATCCACCCATTATTTACGGTGGCTTGCATATCCCGATGCAGCAGCCAGATCGATGGAGTGCTGATTTTCATGACAAATATATATATTTTCCTCTTCAGAACCATCAACTCGTGCAACGATGCGCTGATTTACAGAGCAACAGGAAAACTCATACATGGAATGGTTCGCATGCTCTTAAGCGAGGTGTTCGGCCTCAGCACGAGCGGCAGAGTTGTCGACCTTGTTACGGCGCTCACGGCCCTTCTCTGACCAGGGGAAGTGGGCGACGGGAATAACGAAGAAGCTATAGGGGGAATAGTTAGCACACTATCATCTTGATGAATAGATAGCAAAAGACTAAAGACATACCTGTTGGAACTATCCGCAATACCAGCAAGCGCATTGTACCAAGCGGCAAAAGCAGCCATGAGACCAAACGCTCCACCAGCAACAATGCACGACTCTTGAGGGCCCTTGGCGTCGGCCTGGAGGTAGCCGATGCCGAGAAGCATAAACGCCATGTCGAGGGTGAAGAAGAGGAAGCAGAAAGCGACGGTGGATCGCAGGGTGCAGAGGAAAAGGAGGAAGGTAAAGATGAACCAGCCCATCAGGAAGAGACCAAATGAGTTGTAGAAATCTCCGCTCTGGACCAGAATCTCCTCGATTTCAAAGACACCGGGCGTGAGAACGATGCCAAAGGCGATCCAGAAACCTCCGTAGGATGAGAGTGCTGTAGCACCGAATGTGTTGCCAACGGCCATTTCCCTTAGTTTGCGTATTAGACAGGGAATATCTTTCTAGTTTACTTCACAACACATACCACATGCCAGCCAGAAGCTGAACAAGACCACCGTAGCCGTAGGCAAGCGCTACGACAATGTTTGGGTGACCAATGCTGCGCGTCTTGACGTTGATCAAGGACAGAACAAAGGTGGTAAGGGCAAAAGCCGAGAGACCCAGTGGGGCTGGGTTGGCAAACTTGCGGTTCGGTGGGCGGTAGAGACCAGGCTGGAATTCACCACCAAAAGCGGCAAGGCGAAGGTCTGGGTCGTTGGTAGCAACGTGAGCGAGAGGGTTGCCGCCATAGTCGTATGGCGTCCTCTGCTTGGGCCTTGCTCCAGCGTGGTCGACCGCACTGGTGCCATTCACGCTCTTCTCGAAACTCGCGCCACGCTATGATAAGATAGTTAGACACAGGCAGCGTATTAGCAATTGAAGTGGGAAATTACCTCGACGTCGTTGTGCTCACGAGCTGTCGCCATGATTGCTGAGTAATATGTGACAGAAAGGTTGACGCGCTAATTGGTCTGACTAACAATCAAGGTTGAGAGAAGGAAAGTCTGGGGATGGGGATGGGGGAGCGGAGAGAGTAATATATATGTTTAGGCCAGCGAGCATGCACCACAAGGATGAGCGCCATGAGCCGTCCTATACGGGCGACTAGCCCCGCGACTAAGGGTGGATAGTAAGACCCCCAAACAAGTGCTCAAGTGGACCACTCATTGGAGTTCCCCATAGACGCCTCTCCAGGCCGGGTAAAAGGACAGCGCGTGCATCCACTGATGGTCAACCCACCGAGCGCACGGTGGGCCGACGAACGACAGACAGGTCGAGTCGAAGCCACCTGCGCTGTGGGATCGGCACCGAAAATTCCCTTACCCGAGGACGGATGGTCGCCAAAAAAAATCAAGATGGTGATTGGTGCGTCCACTGAGCCAACTGACCCAGCTGTCCTCTGTCGCGTGTAGATGAGCGGCCTTGAAGCTTGTCATGACGCGGAGAAATGCATTGTAACGCCAATTCCCGATTGCCGTGTCGCCCGTCCAAGTCCCAAGCATTACATCATACTGACCCATGACAAGACAATGTCAACACACTTCGTGGGGATCTTTTTCTTCTCTTCTTCTTTTCCCCTTTTGAATGCGGCCGTTGAGGGCGAGATACAGTTTTTCAAATGCATCGTATAGTACACGGACTGCCTGGTGATTTGCGTCCTGGCGGTCTGCAGGTTCATCCTTGAAGAGGAACCCTGCAAAAATGCCTAGGGGTGGAGCGCATGCACTCACGCAAACGCTCGATTTACTCTACTTTGCCAAATTGGACGCAAAGTCGGCTCGACGATGGCTGTAAAAAGTGGACACCCGTTCTTCCTATGCTCGGCTACCGAGGAAGCTGGATCTGGCGGATGGCAATGGTAATGGAAAGCGACGCTTTGTTGTTGCGCAACTCTCTCTCTCTCTCTCAGCTTCTCTCATCTAGAACGCCATGGACAATACTCCTGCCGCTGCATAAGCAATCCACTAGTTGAGTAATTCCACCATTGTTGTGGTTGCATGAGTTTCAATGGCCGCGGAGGGGACGGGCTGACGGCATTGTGCGTGAGGCCTTGCAGCTAAGCTTTGTCCAAGAGTCTCGGCGGCACGGCCGGCATATCCTAATGTGATGACACAACATAGCCTAGGCTGGCCAGTGACTGCATCGTAACAGCAGTCGACACAAGGTTCGTATCTCGTCGCAGAAAGTTTGGAACTCGTAGCTCGTAGTTTGTTGAAATGGCGAGCAGCAGTTTTGCCGATGTTTGGCGGAATGGGGAATGCTAGCGCTGTTTCTTAAGTCGCATTCTTGCTGTTCTTGTGGGCCGCAAGTGGAGCAACTCTAGTCATACTCTACACGCTAGAACAAACGGTTGAGACGCATGTTGGCTGCTGCAATCTCCGGACGAACGGGGAGAAGTGTCAGGCTGTTTCCTTTGACCTGCATGCGGCCGTGCCGTCTCCGTTACTTGCGTGATGGATTTGCATACGGGGTTTGCGGGCTTTACATGGGACTCGGTCAGATTGCGCCACATGTGTATTAGCAATTTAGGCTAATACTGAGTGCAGGCCATTTTCTGGGGATGCTGTAGTATTGCTGCGTCGCATGCTCATATCCCCTGACCACGACCCAACAACCGAGGCGTCTTGCGGTGCCTGTATGGAACAGGGTACAATGCCCTTTTCTCGCAGGCAACGCATTCAATAGGTTGCTCTCTAATGAATGCATCTTGTTTACAGAGCCGGATGTAGGGTATATGGCAAAATAAGGAAAATATAATCGAGAAAACTCCGCGATGTCGAATCTGCTGCAATAGACCAGTATAATGCGCCCCTTGGATAACGAACCCTTGAAACATTCGGAAGTCAGGCCCACCTGGACTGCGGAGAGGCAAGATCTGGGGGACTCCACTTCGTCCCTGCGCAAGAGCGAGCCAGAGGTCGGGATGCTTGGAAAGCGGAGAGGAGCCGTCGCCAGCCATGGGACGCCAAAATGACTTCCGGTGATCCGTAAAACATTTCACATAACCTCTGGAGAACCGCTAATACATGTCTTCATGTTCCCGAGGTTGATCGGTCTCGATTCCTCCCAGATGTTAGGCGACCCGGGTGAGTCAATCTTGTTCGCTGTTTATATCACTGCCGACAGAGCATGTCTTGAGCTGATTCATCACACGAAGAGTTCCCGGTGAAGCATCCGACGTGGCCAAATATCGTCGGAAGAGGTGATTGCCAAGATAGCATCCGGCTTAAGCAAGCCCATATTCATGACGCACAGCTCTAGCTACCGCCCCCCCAAAAATCGAACAAGTTCAACGACGTCGCAATAAGACGGACCAGGGCAGGAAAGTGGCGTTCCTTGTCACTCGGTGCCGGCTTGGTACAAACTTGGCGCATATCGCTTGCACGGCAGGCTTGGGTAGACATGGGCAGGCACCAGCAGTCATAAACAACGGGTACGGATGCACATGAAGTCAAGCCGAACAGTATCGAGCAGCGCAATGGAGAAGATATTCGAAAATAACGATGGTTGGGATGGTGTTGAGGCGAATTTGGGGTTGGCGACAGGTGCTACGTAATGGGGGCGTCGATCGGGGTCGGGGGGGCGGGGAAGCCCCCAACAAGCTGCCCGGAGCTCAGTACAGCGCCGTCGGCCTAAGCTTGGAAGCTTCCTACTAGGCAACCGTCGGTGAAGGCAGCGCTCTTTGATACCTCTACGGCACTGTCTACCACCCAGCACGAGAGTATTACCCAAATTCATCATGGCAGGAAAGGCAGGGCACGAGGACATGGCGAGCCTCTCATACTTTGATCACTCGTCGGCCAAGCGCGTCAACACTGATGTTGTGCTCATTGAAGCTATCCGCTCCCAGTACCCCCAACTCGACCTCATCGTCGCGCCCCAGGGCAAGCTCAACCTCCTCGCATACGCCTCGGCTGGCTTTGCAGCCGCCACCCCCCTCGATGACGTCGTCAAAGATCCTGTATACGGCCCTGGTGTCAAGCAACGCACCTTTGTCCCACCGTCGAGGAGACTTGATCCGTACCCGGGTCGCATGATCGAGCGCGTCATCTTTGGCAAATTCATGTACAAATGGAAGGACCAGGAGGCCATAGTGTACCTCGCTGAAGGACGCGACGGCTTGGGATCATACCCAGCTCCTGTTATGTACTACATCCTGTCCAATGCGGAGCACAAGGTGGACGAGCTGATCAAGGACGCGACCACATGGGGCTCTGAACTGCACAACGAGGTATGGGTCTTTGACGGCGGTTACTGGGAGAAGAGCGCCGAGCTGTACAACTCTGTGCAGAAAAGCAGTTGGGACAACGTCATCTTGGATGAGGATATGAAGAAGGCGTTGATCGCCGATGTCGAGAACTTCTTTGATGGCCGCCAAACCTACCAGGACCTCAAGGTACCGTGGAAGCGTGGCGTCATCTACTACGGTCCGCCAGGCAACGGTAAGACTATCAGTATCAAGGCCATGATGCACAGTCTTTATCAACGCGGAAGAGATGGCGACTCTAGGATGGCCGTACCTACCCTCTATGTCCGCTCGCTGAGCTCTTTCGCTGGTCCCGAATACTCTTTGCAAGCCATCTTTGCCAAAGCCCGCCAGGAAGCCCCCTGCTACCTCGTTTTCGAGGACCTTGACTCGATTGTCAAAGACAGTGTCCGGTCCTACTTCCTCAACGAAGTAGATGGTCTCAAGTCTAATGATGGCATCCTTATGGTTGGCTCTACCAACCACCTCGACAGATTAGACCCAGGCATCTCGAAAAGGCCGAGCCGCTTCGACCGCAAGTACTACTTCTCAAATCCCGACTACGATCAGCGCGTTCAGTATGCCAAGTTCTGGCAAAACAAACTCAAGGATAACAAGAATCTTGAATTCCCTGACGAGCTATGCGGCAAGATTGCAGAGATAACACCAAAGTTTTCTTTCGCTTACATGCAAGAGGCTTTTGTTGCAGCACTTTTGGCAATCGCCGCTCGCGGAGGTAAGAGTGCTGCTGAAGCAGACCGTGAAGCAGAGAGGTGGTCGGGTCCTCAAGATCCCATGAAACTAGGTGATGGTACTCTTCACGCCAACTTTGGCCGGAGAGCGCATGTTGGTGACTCAATTGACATGGCATCTGGATCTGACTCAGAACTGGATAAGTTAGAGTTGTGGGTTGAGATCAAAAAGCAAGTCAAGATTCTCAAGGACGAGATGCAAGAAGATAGAGGAGAGAGCAGCCTGGAATTACCCAGTCGACCAAGAGACTCTTACCCACCACAGCCACCGCAGTCGACCAAGTTCAGAGACGAACTTGACGCTATACTGCATGGCGGGCAAGACAGGCGCCCCCGTCATCCATTGCCCGAGTTTGAGCACTTTTCCAGTCACGCACGCTTTGAGTAACGTTTTGATGATTGAAATATTTGCGCTTTGTACAATTCGCACCATTCTGAGAGGCGCAACAACGTAGATACCTGGAATATGATGATTTGAAAGTGGTGCCATCCTCTTGTGCGAACCTAGTCGCCGTGCAAGGCCTCCTCTTCCATAGCCAAAACTGCGTTCTCCAACTCTCGAATCCGCTGTCCCACCCTCCTCTTCACCTCATCCGCAACCGCCTGATCCTCGCCTTCCAAAACGCCCTTGTAAAACTCCAACAATCGATCTAGCTCTTCTCGTGCCGCAGCCCGATCATCAGGCGCATACGTAGTATTCTTCTCGCTCTCCTCGGACGCAATCTCGAACTCGTCCCTCGCAGTCCCATACAACTCCTGTATCTCCTCGATCGCTGCCTCGACCGCCTGCTGTGACTCTGGCGATAGCGATGACGGGGCTTCCGCCGTGGATGCAGCGAGCTTAGCATGTGCGGAGGATGTGAAGGTGCGCACCGAAGAAACCGTATTATACGGCGAGCTGAACCGCGTCCACTGGCCCGGCGCCGCAAGTATCGACGTGTTGCGCGCCTGGTACGGTGGGGGCGGCGACGGCGAACGCGACCGCTGCTGCGTATACGTCTGCACGGAGAATTGCTGCGACGCAGGGTACGAGGTGCGCTGTGCTGCTATGGCGCTTGCACGCAGCGTCGTCTGACGTAGTAGCGTGCGGATGGGCGCTGCGCCCGATGCCATTTTCGGCGGCGCCTGTCTATGGTATGAGGCGCGGAACTGGGCGGGGATGGACCGCTGCGCTACGTGCCGCAGCGCGGGCGTCCGTGAAAAGAGAAATTGCGACATGACCGGTGGTGTTGAGGGTGGGTGGAGTGGGTGAGATTGGGCGTGGTAGGCCTGAGGTTGGTCGGAGTTAACGTCGTCACTCGGCCGTCGTGGTGATATATGGTGGCACGCCTTGTCGTCTATGGATGCGGCTTTTGATTTTCCCTTTTTATGATAAATACTATATATCTCCAATACACTCTTCTTACATTGTAATACCCTAGATCGTGCGGCCGTCTCAAGTTAGTACCTTTGTAGTAGTAACCGCCTACGCTTGTAGGACGTAACAGTCTAGTAAATTGTTGTGTCTAACCTGAGCCCCACCGGGCATGCCGTTATCATTCCTACAGATCCACTAGTCACTCTCAAGTCAGATCTGCCTTCCCTTGGTCAAGCTCATCTCAGGTAGAATATGATGAATAAAACCTAAACATTTGTCATCAAAGAACATTGGCGAGCGTAGTCTAGTGGTTATGATGTCTGCTTTACATCTCTCAGGATATAAAGCGCAGAAGGTCGGGAGTTCCCAAGATGGTGGTACAAAGTGTAGTGACACTACAAAATGAGCGTATATGAATCCAGTCCAATGATATCGTCTATAAAGCGCAGTTTATGAAACTCACCCGATATATCCAGTAATCCTGAAACGGCCCATTCAATCAAGTCCATCGAATGAATCTGGATGGCTCTATTACAGCACGTGATCTCCTGATAAGGCATAGCGCCGTGTCGTACACTGTACTTAGCCCAGTTGCTTACAGCTTCGCCAGATTGTCATTGTACTACTACTGTTTTGACTATCTGTCTTTTCTGTTGTCTTAGTTTCGGAAATAAGCCATAGTATGCTATCAGCCTCAATTCATTCAATTTGGGCCTCCGAACTTCATGAAGTTATTTTTTTCTAACTCTGCTTTTCTTGCATGAATGACGCAGCACACTTGTCAATATTGGTTACCGCGGGTAGGTGCATCAGGCCAAGACACTCTGACTTGTTTGCGAAGAGGACAAGATTGCTTCCAAGAAGCACATGAATTTTTCTTGTAACTGCACTTTGCGCATCTCAACTTACAATTTTTGACGTATAACACCCCTTATCTTACGCCTAGCATTCTAAGCAACTACACTCTGCCTTGTGGACTCCTCGCGCCTCGCTAAAGAATGGAAAGCTTAGAACTCTTTGAATTCATTCAGAGTGAGGAAGATGATAGTAAAATACTGGAAGAACTCAGGCAGCATATTAAAAAACGAAAGAAACTGCCATGGGTAAGCAGTCCATTCTTTACATATGATACTAACAACTAACACTAGATATATAGTTTCAGGACATAATTCCAGGGCTGATCCCGGGCATCGAGGATGGAAAAACATGGCTAGACAACGCACGGAAGTTACTGTGGTCGCCAGCCGAATACAGTGAACACAAGGTGAAGCTCATTCGCATGCAGAAGCTGCTGCAACCAAGTCCCACCCCACTCTCTCCAGATCGATATCGTCTTCGACAACACTGGCCAATATATATCGAAGCCTTGCGGCCAATGTCGGATAGAATGTTCGCAGCGGCGAACGAAGTCTACGAGGTGGTAGCTAAGCAAGATTGCTTGACTGGTGAGAATTAATGCACGCGCCTTTTTTTTGCAACATCGACATAATAGCTCATTTTGACCAACCATTTCTAGAAGACCGAAACATAGCAAGAGCCACATCCGAAATTGATGATAAGCACCACGCTTTTGTGACCATCGCAGTAGCCTTGCAAGATAAGGTTCTAAGCCCTATCATCAGCGACATCAAGCGGCGACAGAAAAGCCTCGACGAAGAAATACAACGCGCGGAAGACCAAAAACGTGATCAACCTGAGCGAGACGGACATGTCGAGGCTGGAGATGATGGGCAAGCTCCTGTTAAAGCAGGCGGACAAACTATGCAACAGCAACTAGACTTTCTCTCCGAAGAGAAACACGAAAACCAAGAACTGCTGAAGGCGCTTGTTAGGTTTCGCGGTAAGTTTTATCCATGAACTTCAGCTGCATTTTACTCAGATACACCTACTGCAGATACACTTGTTGACGAGAAGGATACAACGGACCAGCACAAGGATTTGAAGAGGAATTCAGTTGATGAGTATTCAGATTCAGATGAAGTTATGTCAAGGAAGAGCGCAAAACGTAGGTTGCCGTTAAGATAGTAGATGCATCCAGTGACCTAATTTTTTATAAGCGTGCACTTTACGTAACATGGCTATGTCTAGAAACAATTCGATAGGATCATAACATTTCAGTGTTACGATATGTCTACATTATCTCGAGTTTAGTCACCCGCACCTTTGTGTAGCCTCCATAATTAACCACTTCTTTTCTCTATTTCTCCACCATAGCTGGAATGCTTTCTGGTCCGTCAACCTTTTCCTGTATTTTGCGCCAAAACGATGTTGTATACTTCTCACCAGCTCTCCTCTCCCGATGGATAGCTGCAAGAGCTTTGAGTCTTAAAGCGTGCCATGGCTCGTGTGAACATGAGCCTAGAAAGTACTCACGTAGTGTGTTGTAGAGCTTTTCGCTCGTTATGCATTGCCCTCTGCGCGCGCAAACTTTACGCCCTTCAACGAAAAGCTCCCCGCTATTCGACTCTCCATCGCTGCCAGGACAGTGTGCGGGCCAGGTGATCTTTCCAGAGTCAACCGCTGGGCTTCCGTCACGGATAAAAGAAACTATTTCCCTTCTCATATACGGAATTCGAATCGCTCTTGAACTATACGGATTTTATTAGCAATTACCAGGACAGAGAGCATGGCTTCATACCTCTGATGAACCGTACTTTCCCATATAGTACACTGCTTTGCACGGAATCCTGGGCTGATAGACATCCAATGTTTCTTTTCTTTAGATGACCACGCTCCAAATGCCATGAACAGATCGCCTTCGCCTGAAGAAAGAGGTGTGTGACTCCAACAAAACTTGACTATCGCATCTATCAGCATGAGATATATATAAATGAATATAGGAAAAGCTTACAAGGTAGATTGGAACGCGCCGCATAAGTGTTAAGGGAGACTGCAATAAGCGCGATAGCCGGTATCACCCTGATGACAGTGGTCCCGGTGTAGGTTCGCTGGCGCAGTGCTTCATGTCCATCAAAAAGCGACAAGGGAGATTCTACATCTCGAAGTCTTTCAACCAAGTCGTCCCATTATATTCCACAGCTTGCTGTGAACATATCCACCAGAGTTTTCTCTGCAACAAGGCGTGGTTTATCTTCATGTAGTAGAGGGCTCTCTCTTTCAGGATTGATACTTGCATGCCAATCAAACCAGTCCTGATATGTTGCAGGCTGCGTTGAGCCTTTCATTGCCTGCTTTTTCCTAGTCGATATAGATTCACTCATTGAAGCGAGTGAAAAATAGGGTTGTGACGGGTAGAGCTGGTCTTAAGAAAGAACTAAACGGAAATCGGAGCATCGAAGGGTAGATAAAGAAGAGCTTGCTGTATTTCGCACTCAGAAGTGAATGTGCTACTGTATGTACCCGTGTTTGGTGAGTCTCGTGTGTACTAGACGAAATTGTGAAAGCACGCAGAATCCAAGCCGATGCTCTAATGCAGATGTGTTTGAGTTGCCTGCATATTTCCGTATGCAAAAGTGATTGCGCCAGCAAAACAATAATCTGCATTATGCTCATTCCACTGAAGGACATGTAGCGCTTCTCTACGAAGATGTTTTGCAAAAAAGAAAAAAAGAATGTGACCAAGCAGGGGATCGAACCCTGGGCCTTCACTGTGTAAAAGTGACGTGATAACCACTACACCACTCGGCCAGCTGATTCGTTGAAGATATGCTGCTAAATTATAAATATATTGGATAGCTCGGTACTGCATCGTTGGTATGATGTATCAAGTCTCAATGTCTCGTCAATTTACTCTTCCTGTTTTGGTTTTGGAAACAAGATTTTTGCCTTGTTAGTCAGTAATTCTAGCGTGCAGATGTCCAGCGCTTAGGCGGGCGGGTTTTCAAAGCAAAACAATACGTTCATATAAGAAACCGCAACATCAATGCAGTACATACGTGCACAATGCGCGCGTTGATGTTATTCCTATATCATTATTGTCATGGATTCAGAATTGAAGTTCAGCTCCTAAAAGCGTTATTGTCATTACTCAGGATTCGTGCAGCAAATATAGAGAGGCATTGGGTTCATGTGGATGTTCGTTGGCGAAATAGGTCTTCCAGTAAGTACCAGGTTTCTAATTGCCTGGCTACCAACACGTAACCGAGACACCATCACTAAAATTGGGGAAACAAGAATAGCTTGGTGTTTTTAAAGTGTATCCTTTCTGCCACGAAAGTCTGCTGTCGCAAAGCTACTCGCCTCTTTCAATCATTCTATCATTGATGATCGCCCTAGTACTCTCCTTTCCCAGCCTGATTTTGCGCCCTTGATGATATAGATTTGCCCTTTTGTGCCTCTTGCTGTAAATGTAGACGTACATTAGATCCTTTGGCCCTGGGGACTCTGGATACATTAGTGTACCCATCGTCGTCGTGGGCCAGGTCACAATCCTTGTGGCAATTTGATTCATCGCCGGGCTCGCTTCCATTCTTACAAGCTTCTCGTATACACTCTTTGCCATCAGTCATACATCTCTCACAGGAACCAACTCGATTGTCGCACACCTTTCTATCAGCAAAACACTGGTTGCAAGGCACATGACGCCTAAAAGAGTCAAAGTTACGTATCATATCCACAAGATCTGGAGTATTTGCGATGCCATGAAACGTGCAAGCGTGTTTGCTAGCGTAACAGCCAATACATGTAGGAATCACTTTGCGGCTGTAAGCAATCTCCGGGATATAGAAGCGACAGCTCTTTTCATCTTCGCAATAATCGCATCGCAGGACGTACTTTGTTTTGAATGCGGACTGCGCCATGATATCCGCTAAGGGCATACCGTAATTGTCATCGCCGATCATGGCCTGGTGTGAGAAATCCTTTGCTCTGCTCTCCGTGCAATCTCTCTCTTTGACAATGCATCTCTTCTTCTCGTTGTATATAGATTCAACGTGATCAGTAGCCATCGGCTGTGTGTTCGGTGGAAGGGTTGTCAATACTCGGCACATCATCCTATCCTGGTTAGCGACTATGTAAAACAAATAGTATCATCATATAACTTCATAGCAGTTACTAAAATCACTTACGTATGAGTTGCAGAAGAGCCAGTGTTTTGCATTCTGGGGCTACCGTGGTTCCACTGGCGTTGAAGGAGTCCATTTGGCCCATAGATTGGGGTGACATAATGTGAACCTTGATCACACAAAAGATTATCGAAATGCTGGTGTACTGAGCCGTTGGAAAAAGCATAAACGTGGCAAAGTGGTTCCGCGTCTTGCTTCAGAAAGGGTAGTTGTATGAGCGAGCTTCCGGGCTGGCCCGCTCCCTGGCCTTCCCCAAGTGTTTGAATGACTGGCCTCCAATTCCTAGTTCTTATCTCACTGTCGCATACTTTACACCCTTTATACTTGACTAGCCAATTTGTGTCTCCAGAAGGTAGAAGGATGGGTTGATCGAGAATAGGCTGACCATCTATAGATGGAGAGCTGATTGTAGCAGCAACGTAGATAAAGGGCTGGCTCATGCATAGTGGTATCTCAATAGTCCTAACGCGCGTTGGTTCAAATATTTGCGAAGGCGGAACCCGGGGCGGCCAGTTATGCGCGATAAATCTTAGCACGAGAGCGCTGAGAGATCCAGATCGTATACCTCCCACGAGAGACACAGGGAGCGTTCTGTTCGCTTTGTATCTAGCCGTGTCCCGCTCCGTCCAATCGTGCCGGACCATCACTGCGTCTCCACAAGCATTGCCTTCCAGAATTATGCAAGCATTTTTTCCCAGCTTGTAGCATTGGTCGTTGATGGCATCGCAGAATGCTATGCGGAAAAGCTCTTTCCGTGCTGTAATGGTGCGTGTGCTCTGCTTTTGTGTTGCGGTCGTTTGCTCTGTCTTTGCGGGCTCCGTTGACTTGCTCTCGTCACCAAACATACTGTCCTCATGTATGTCCATGTTTCGCCAAGTTGCCATAATCACGTATTGTACGAGCGAAAGTAGAGATTGCGTCAGGACTTCTAATATTAACACGGACTGCTGGCGTACTACTTCTAGCTTTATGTCCCTCTCGTGTGTGAATTGCAAGCCAGTCTCCCTGTTGATGAAGAAGAAAATTCCAGTTGAGTTTATAGTCGGCCCATTCCGGTGCTGGCCGTAGAGTAACAATATCAGATTTTGTTTCCCGTGATGTAGTCGTCTTGTGCTCAATAAGGTACACCGTAGATGACTTTTTGTCTCGAAGTATTAAGTCGCAACTTAGGGGCTGTATAAGGTTGAATAATAGCTCCAGTTGAAATTCTGGCTGAGCGCGTAGTAGCTGAGCAAGTTCTTGGATGGTGGTTGCAGAAAACTTCTGACGTTCCCCCAATATCATCATCAGCTTTTCGGGGCTGCAATCAGGTAATGGTGGCGTCCAACCTCGCATTACAACACCATTAGACGGGTTGGTGTATGTCGTTTGGCCCTTGAACGCATCTTTCAGTCTCAACAGTGCTTCAAAGAGATCACACCGGTGTACTGCAAAGGGCGCTAAAAGAGTGCTAATGTGTAGAGGCTCACGCGGCCGCATTCTGTGTGCTTTGATCGACTCATCTTTGACAAGAGTATGGGAGTCCTGGTATTCCAATTTTGTGTTCGCATGTAGGGCTGTGTAGCTGTTGACAGGTAATATGCATAAAATTTCGCTATTCCCAGGTGGCGCAACAATAAATATAGGAGCAATTTGCCGAGCTGATCGAGTACTAATGCTGAGCTTGATGTCGATAGGTACGATCTGCAGATTGTCCTTTTGGCGATGCTTATTGACCCAGGACCATACAGCAGAAGGGTCCATATTCATAGGAAATCCCTCTGGAGGATCGAAGATAAGGCCTCCATCAAGACTACTGAAATCTGGCCCTATAAAGCCTCAGTTAAGCAACTAAGTAGCTTTTATATTCGATATTCAAAGACATACCCCGTATCACACCAATCCGATGCCCATGATCTCTGTATCCTTGTATGCAGATATCAGATAGTATGCGAAATGCATTGCGCTCGGTCATCCATCCACTTATAGATGGGAGTCGATCGACTACAGCCTTCTGGTTCGGTTCTGCAGATTTTGATCTGACCATGGTGGTTCACGGTTTGTCCTATTGATGCTAAGACTAAGCAGTGCGATATGGGAAGTTGGGTGGATTTGAATTTGAGGGCTTTTGGGAGCGTAAAAGGACTGAGGAGTACTAGCATTTACTTGAGTAAATTTGGATCAACAGCGGCGGAATATATAGAAGGCTCTAGATGGAGGAGATTTGGTTCATACTATCAGAAGTCATGCTCCGATCAAGCGTGTTACTAGTACATCTCATGGTTTGGGTATAACTCTAATCCAGCCTCTCTTGCAGATTTAGTTGCAGATCAAAGCTAAGTTGAACGTGTACTGCATATTGGGCGTTATGTACAACGCGAGTGAAGTAGCTGATAGGGCAAGGAGGTTCTAGACTACTTCTTTTATATTGCATCAGCAGCGTGTAACCGGAATTTCATTGGGTTTCCTTGCCTTGTCATCTTTATACAGGTTGTTTGGCCTCTCGACGACGAGGTTGGAAGAGCGTGCAAATAGACTGGCGAGTTTCTGCAATCGACCAGCTAATCTGGACATACTCCATGCCTAAGACGCTTACTTGAGAAGGAGAAGGAGTGACTTAGATTTAAAGGCACGACAGTATTGTCAACTAAATCGACAGTGATATGTGTGGCCATTTCGGCGGTCTGACTGTAGTAGAGGCATCGCATAGACACTCCGGTTCTGCGGTATGATCTGTGCATGGACTAGGATACTCCCGCTTGTTTATAATACTTCAATCGTTCCTTGGTTCGGTGGTTGTCTAGCTGGTCCTGAAGCAAGTTGCGGTGAGATTGTGCGACAATGTCTTGGACCATGACTATGCAGAAAAGCGCGTGGCGATGGACACAAAAAGTCGGAATGACCAATCTATCCTGCATCAATAGCTACAGAAGGCTGATTATAGTGCGTTGAATGGGTGATGGCCGTGGATGCGTCATGTTTGTGCATGAATGGAGGCGATTTTCACAATAGTAGTGGCTACGACTTCGGCCCTCTTACGTACTACATAGTACTGCTGGACCTGTCACTGTCATACCTAGCTGATGCTGATATCCGCATTATTGAGCCAAATACTGATTGCCCCACTATAATTTCCATATGTCATTATGATGAATCCACTACAACCTTACCATGTCGCGCAGGGCGAATTGACATTCTAATTATCAAGCTTTAAAATACAACGATCTTAGCTAATAGCATCACCCTTGTTTACCTGTAATCGCGTCTTGTGGGCGTTCGTGAATATATTCTCAGTAGATAGCTTGCAGGGAGAGGCGAAAGTCTAGCTCGACCTCGGAAAGTGAATGTTACTACGTACTAGTAGTGTGCCCGTGCGCAGTGTGCCCGGATTCGGATCATGCCCCGCCAACACCATCATCGCGATCGCAAACTTGAAGTTGTACAACGCCGCACAATAGCTTAATATATATAAAAACTTGGAGTTGCAGTAATCAGATGCTTATGGTCGGTTTGTACTATCTAAATTTCTGCGGGAGCTTAACGCTGCGGCCTCGCGTCGTGATCTTTGGTGGGATAGATGATGAAGTAGATGCAGCTCCATCGCGAGCTCCATCCACCATTGATAGTTTTTGACGCTTGTTCTTAGAGGCAGACACTCGTGAGGCTGTACGCTTACGCTTTTGAGCTTGGTGTTGAGCTTTTTCACTATTGCGGGCTTCTTTTTTACGCGCGCGTTCAGCTGCTTTCTCAGCCCGCTCAAGCTTACGCATCTCATTAAGTCTCAATCGCTCAGTGCGCTTTTCCTCGCGCTCAGCTTGACGCTGCAATTGAGTCTCCTCGCGGTCCTTCTTAGCCCGTGCTTTCTGGAGTTTCTCCTCCATCTCCTCATGTTCACGAACTGCTTCTCGAGCTCGAGCTTCGCGGAACTTACGAGGTGACCAGAAGACCGCTCCGCCATGATACTCCTTGCGTTGTTGAAGATCTAGAGCTTTGCCCTTGCCTTTATGCTTCTGCTTGTGCGAAAGAGCTGCTCTCAATCCCTCCATCTCATGACGCAATAGCTCATTTTGAACCTGGAGATGATGGAGTGAAGCGCTAAGCTTTTTAACTCCACTCTCAGCTCCATCTTCGGCAGCTTCTCGTACTAGCTGCCTCAGGTGATTCCAATCACTTGGAGAGAGCCGAGATCGCTCGCGGTGGCTCCTATCAGGTGTTGAACTAAACCTTTTGAGTATAACGTCGGGATCTGCTGGCCATATACCAGTAGCGCTAAAGGCCTTCAAGATATTGTTTTTAGTAAAGGATGAGCTCCAGGCTCGCCAGAACAGCGGAAAAAAGTCGCCCTTCTTAACTGAGACGAGGCCTTGGGCGTTATGGAGATGGTTAGTGAGCTCATTTGAGTAGCTGGTGGAGAGTGGTTTAAACATCACCACATCAAGCGGTTGCAGTGTGTGAGTTGAATGAGGAGGAAACACCATGAGGAGTATTCTATGGCGATTGCAATACTCAATAAACTCGGGCGTGACGTGAGATCCATGGCCATCAAGGATAAGTAATCGCCATCTCCCTGGTTTATTCTTCGTGCAGCGATCAAAAACTTGCTCAAGCCATGCCAGCCCAACGTCATTATTGCTCCAACCTGATGGGGTTGATGTTACAAACACCTCATGCTCACCAACAGTAATTTCTTCCACCCAGTTTGATCTAATGGCTCCTCGCGCTGACGCGTAGATAAGGCCTGGCGGTAATGAGCTCCCATCCGCGCAGGTGCAAGCCAGGAGCGTTAAAAACTCACGTGATCCATCTTGAAGTGATGCTCTAACCTCTTTCTTATCCCATTGACGCTTGCTGAAGATCCTCTTCCCTGTGCCAACGATCCCAATAAGGAAACCCTTCTCATCCATATTGTATATATCACCAGCCTCAAGGCAATACTCCTTAAGCTTTTGATGCAGAAGGTCGAAGTAAGCCTCATACTTCATTAGAGAGTCAGCCTGGTGGCGCGTACGATCCATGGCGCTGGTCCACTTTGAGATAAGATGGATCTTGTGTCGGTTGATGAAGCGAGTAACCCAGCTCTCGCTAACCTTTCGTTTAGCTATTGCTGATGTAAAGTTCTGGATCATTCGCCTTGTAGGTGGTAGAGCTCTCTTGGTAAGCTTTTCAATATATAGTACAAGCTCCGATTCCTGTTGTGGGCTGAGTGCTTGTCGTTGGGCGTTACTAGCTTCTTTTGACCCTGTCACACGTCGCCACCTCCGCCCGAGCGTCGAGCGATTAACGCCCCATTTTTCAGCAACCTCTCTTAGCGTGTATTTTTCTCCTGGTTCTCGCGAGTTCAAGTCTGCAATCGCATCATCAATTGGGGCCATGGTTGTTGAGTTATTGCGCATCAAAATTGTGGTGTTGAGACGCGTCACAATGTTCGGCGGGGCATGATCCGAATCCGGGCACACTGCGCACGGGCACACTAACGTGTCTGTGCACCTCGTGCACGGATTCATCTCGTGCACGCTGAACACCATCTCAGCGATCTCAAAAATGAGGCTTTACAACGCCACATAATAGCTTAATATTTATAAAAACGTAATGTTATAGTAAATAGATGCTTGCGATTAACTT